CAGCTGGTTTTGGTTGTCAGCAGCAAACTGGTTGATCCACTCTGAGAAGGTGCTATTTAAGAGACTGAGCTGAAAACAGCACCTCAGACTGAGGAAGTCTCTTGGATGAGAGACGAAACGTTTCTATATATTTTTGCTTTGTTTTGTTTTTTGTTTTTTTTGAATGTCCAGAGGACCAGATTGAACTTTTTTAGATTTTTCTACCTGGATTATTGAGCATGCATCAGGATATGTTTTTAATGTAGTTGCTACTATTTTTGATAAATAATGAAAAGCACAGAAAAGCTTTTGTGTTCTGAAGCAAAATAGATAATGTCAGCATGATATTTTTTCATAGTGGATGTCTCATAACAATGGACTGTCATGGAGACATTGAGTGTTTTTGTGTGCATGGTGCCCTTTTAAACCAGTTCTTTATGAAAAGAAACTTGAAATGTACCTCAGCGCTTCTCGCAGAGCTCCTCGTTCACTCAGCGTCGTGTGCTTGATGTCGTCAAAGTTGTTCTCCAGCTTCAAACAGGACTAAGAAAAAGAGGAAAATAAAAAGGAGCAGACAACGGATGGGTAAATTGCATTTCCAAAAGCTGAGACGCTGAAAGTGAGTTTTTAATACAAGTAAAACAGTTAAAACAGGCTAAACAAATGTCAAAAATAGCTAAATTAATAGAAAGGCTAAAATAGTAAAACAGCAGCTAAAAGTGTAAAAAGTTGCTAAAATAAAATAAGCAAAACAGTTAGTAAAAATAGCAAAACTGGAGCTAAAACTTAAAAGAAATAAAACAGAAGCTGGGAGGCAAACAAGACATAAACTGTGGATTGAACGTGTGTGCTTGGGTCTTACATCACAGTTCCTTTCAGGGTTTCTTTTCCAGTGTTTCTTTTCTTTCTTCTTACTCGCCGTGGACACGACCTGAGTGTGAGTCTTCACCCTGGGATTCAGAGCCAAGATGTTCTGAAAAACACAACAACGGCAGCAGAAGTTTATTGTGTGATATGGAAACAACTACAGGCTGTGAACAGAGAAAGCTGGTCTGCTTTTTTACTCATGCAGTACCTACTTTACAAAGTATTGAAAACTACTAGTACTTTTACTCAAAAAAAGTAAAAAAAAAAATAGAGCTGGAATTCTTTTCTTGAACTGAAAATATTTCAACTTCTTAACAGTCTTCAACTAGAGAATAACAGATGCTTTGTTATTTAAAACTTTTAAATTTGACATGATTATTTATTAAATATTTAGCAAAATTCTGACATAAAAATGCTAAAAAACACGGGTTTTTCTATAAATCAGGACGACTGTAGTTGCATCATGTGAAAAAGCTGTGATTGTAGGAACAATGAACATTTTGTGTTAAAGAATGCTTTGTGGTCTTATTGTCCAGTAAAAAATAAATAAATTAAATAATCATTAATTTATTTGTTAAAAAAAACAAAAACTGGAATGTAACATTTGAATGAGTCACGTACACCAGAAACGCCTCTTTCATTTTCCGTTTACTAGTGTTAGTTCACAAAGTACAGTACATCTGTTTTTACGTCACACACACACACACACACGCGCACGCACGCACGCACGCACACACACACACACACACACACACACACACACACACACACACACAGATCTGCTCTGCTAAAATCACAAATAACAGGAGGATTCCTGGAAGTCTGAGCGTTTCAGCAGAAAATGATAAGATAATGATGAGCTGCAGGTCGATGAGCTGCTGGAAAGTGACCCGTTGCTTCATTAATGTCTAACAGAGGATATGAAAAAACTGAAATATTTCTCTTCCAGTTTTTGTACCAAATAATTACAATCTGAACATCAAGGAGCACATCAACCTGGCCAACATCGTTTGCCGGCTCAACTGGCCAAGTTTAGACCCAACAATGAACAATTCTCTACAGTTCACTCAGTTATAATGCAGAGTTCACAGTTTTTACTGCAATAATAATCAGGTTTATTAAACTAATCGTTTGTCAAGTGAAGGATCGGCTCCTTTTTTGACATTACCAGGCAGCAGCTGTTATTTATTTGGTTTACACGCTGCAGTCTTGTGTAAATGTAGTTTATGAAATCACTTAAAACTGATGCCTAACTTTAACACGTGCACATTTAAACCCCCGCTCTGACAGCCCCATGAAGCTGCTCAACAGTCTGAACATGAAACACGTGGCTGGTTACAGGTCACGTTTCATGATTATAATTTATGTTCATTGTTTCTTTGTTGTATCTGTGATGGCTGTTTTCTGTTCATATCCAGGCTTCTGCCTCGTTCACGTTCAGGAGCTGCTGTATGTGTGACTGCTGCTTCACATCCACACTATTGTTCATCAGTATTTAACCATTCATACACCAAAATGTTCAGGGCATATGGAGATGGTTGGTATGGCTTTTTTTTCTTTCATTTGAAACTTTTCAGAATGATAACTTCATTTACAAACATTTTCTCCATAGAAAATCATTGAGATCATTTTCTTCAATATAGTTAATTTAAAAAAAGGCTGAACACAACTATTTTAATTTTGTCTTTTTGCTCATTGTTTTGTTATCATTTTGCTACTATTATCTTTTAGCTAGCATTTTGGCACTTGTTGGCTTTTAGCGTTTATTTTATGTCTATTCTTTAGTGTTCTGGTTCTTTAAGCTTCAACAACTCAGTTTAATCTTTGGTCGTTTTCAGGAAGTCATTCAGCGCTCAGTGTTCGCACTGTTTTAGCTGAACATGCAGGTGAAGAACAGAAGCAAGGTGGCACACAGCTGTCGCCTCTCAGTGAGAAGGTTGCCGGGTCGAACCCTGGCTGGGGACATTTCTGGGTGGAGTTTGCATGTTCTCTCCGTGCATGTGTGAGCAGACCAAAAACAGGCATGTTAGGCCACGTTAATCCCTCAGACCTTGATATGTGTAGCCTGTCTATAAATCTGTGAGTTTCTCAAAGTACAGCTAATGAGTAACAAATGTACTGTTGGTTTATCATTACAAAGAGGAGTGGGCACGACCGTCACTGCTGCTGAAAGAACATCATTGGAGATCAGAACCGTCTGTTCTTTCAGATGCAGAGTTGCTTCTTGTGAGGCCTCGGATTAAAGGTTTGGAATAAAGTACGCTTGAAGATTTATCCTCTTATCTCTATGAAGTTTAGAAATTTTTTGTATGAACTATTTCAACAGGAGAGTTATTGCTTTATTGTAATTTTAATGAAGGGACCCATCACAGATTTAGACTTTGTTGTGTTAAACTGAGTATACGTAAAGTATGGTATGCTCATCTTACTAAGTTGATCCCACTCTGGACTCAGTAGGATCAAAAAGTAAAGAAACTGCTTAATCCAAGTAAATTACAACATGATTCATACAGTGTAAGCTTTGAATATGTCTTTTGAAACAAGTGCCATTCAAGCAAGTTTTTATTTTCAGTTTCAAACAATCTCTTTTCTCTGTTTTCATCATAAAACTATGGTTCTCTGCGAGTTAAAAACAAGAAGCAGGCAACAGTTTTTGCAGATATTTACCTCGATGTCTGGTAGATCTTTGCTCAGCATGATGTTTCGGTCCGGCTTCACAAGTTTCAAGCTGTAAGAAGATTCTGGTTGGTTTTGTGGATCAGATGTCCGAAGCACTGTTCGGGACGGCTCTGCTCCTGAATGAAACTCTCCGAGAGCTGATTGTACTTTTCACCAGATCCTCTCCCCGCAGAGAGGTGACGTCTTAGAAATGCCAGAGCAGCTTCTGTCCCATACCAACATGTTGATAAGGTGAGCTGATAGGCTGAGCTGTTATCAGCCACTGAGGGTCAAAGGTCAGCAGAACAGTGAGCAAGTTTTCAAGTGCGTTGCACCTGAGTTCTGCAGAAGCTATGTTCAGAAGAAAAAACAGTCTCTGTGGACAGACGTCAGGTTCAGACTCAACCTCTGAAGTGGGAATGGAGCTCTGAGTTCTGCTTTTACTTCTTTCGCATCCTGTTCAGAAATCTGCATTTAACCCCTTCATGCTTGAAGTAAGATTTTTAACCAGAAGTGATTCATATAATTTCACTGTGAACAGGTATTTGCCTTGTTCTGTTCATTCTGACTACACGTATAGTCAACTCACAAAAAGTATTTTCAAGTTGTTTCAACGTGCGGGTTTTCTTTTTAGGTTTTGAGCCAGTATTCACTGAAGGTGTCTCTGGAGTGGAGTAACCAAGATGTGGAAGGCTGCAGGTTGTGCTAGAAACAATCACATTTAAACATAATGAATATTCAAACAATTGTACTGATAACAATTAGGTGATTTTTGGACATTAGTTAAAATATATTCATTTTTAAGCACGGTGGCGCAACTGGTGCTGCCTCTCAGCGAGCAGGTCCTTGGTTCAAACCCCGGTCCAGGGGCCTTTCTGGGTGGAGTTTGCATGTTCTCTCCGTGCATGCGTGAGTTTTCTCCAGGTACTCCAGTTTCCTCCCACAGACCAAAAACATGCATGTTAGACTGATTGGTAACTCTAAATTGTCCCTAAGTGTGAGAGAGAGTCAATGGTTGTTTGTCTCGTTTGTCTCTATGTGTCCCTGTGATGGACAGGAGACCTGTCCAAGGTGTCCAACGCCTCTCGCACAGCGATTGCTGGACATGGGCACCAGTGACCCCCGTGACCCAAAAAGGAAGATGCGGGTAAAGATAATGGACAGATGGATGGATGGATGGATGAATATAATAAATAAAAGATTACATCCTGATGCATGCTCAATAATCCAAGTAGAAAAATCTAAAAAAAAATAAGTCAGGTTCTCTGGATGGATTCTTCTTGTTGAAATGTTTTGTCTTTTATCCAAAAGACTTCTTCAGTCTGAGGAGCTGCAATAAACTCAGTCTTATAAATAGCACCTTCTCATAGTGGATCAACCAGTTTGCTGGAGACAGCCAAAACTTGTTCACATGATAAAGGAGGACCACACAACCATAACAATTTGTCGTTAGTGCCCTGATGTTTGTTTGCTATTCACAGGAGGCTGAGTGATACTAGCAATAACAGCATTGTAAGAGGGGGACAGATGGACACGGAGGCCTCTGCCTGTTTAATGATGGATGGTTTCTTTTCACAAAGATGGCCTTCTTTACTCCACTCTCAAACCATTGTTCCTCTCTGTCCAGGATGTGAACATCTTCATCCCTGAACAAGTGACCGTTGACCTGGAGATGATTGTAGACTGCAGAGTCCTGGCCTGATGGTGTTGTTCTTCTGTGCTGGGCCATCCTCTTGGCCAGTGGCTGTTTAGTTTCCTCGATGTAAGACTGATCACAGCCCTCCTGACACTGAACAGCATATATGATATTACTCTGTTTGTGCCAGGGGACTGGATCTTTGGGATGAACCAGTCTTTGCCGTAATGTGTTTTGGGGTTTAAAAGCCATTGAGATGTCACGTTTAGAAAATTAACATCTCAGTTTAAAGAATACGTGGGCAGTGGCCGAAGGCGGGTAGCTTAGCGCTCTGACTGTGGCTTACCAAAGCTGGCTCTCGGAACATGGAACGTGACCTCTCTGGTGGGGAAGGAGCATGAGTTTGTGCGTGAGGTTGAGAGGTACCGACTAGATATAGTTGGGCTCACCTTGACGCACAGCATGGGCTCGGGAACCAATCTCCTTGAGAGGGGCTGGACCTTATTCCACTCTAGAGTTGCCCATGGTGAAAGGTGTGGAGCTGGTGTGGGTCTACTCTTAGCCCCCCAACTTGGTGGCTGTGTGTTGGAATTTTCCCCGGTAGATGAAAGGATAGCTTCCCTGTACCTTCGGGTGGGGGGACGGGCTCTGACTGTTGTTTGTGCCTATGCGCCGAACGGCAGTTCAGAGTATCCAGCATTCTTGGCATCCTTGGCGGGGTTGCTGGAAGGTGCACCAACTGGGGACTCCTTTATTCTGCTGGGGGACTTCAATGCCCATGTGGGTAATTACAGTGTGACCTGGAGGGGTGTGATTGGGAGGAACGGCCTCTCTGATCTGAACCCGAGTAGTGTTCTGTTGTTGGACTTCTGTGCTAGTCATAGTTTGTCCATCACGAACTCCATGTTCGAACATAAGTGTGTTCATAAATGCACTTGGCACCAGGACGCCCTAGGTCGTAGATCGATGATTGACTTCATAGTCGTGTCATCTGATTTGCGGCCTTTTGTTTTGGACACTTGGGTGAAGAGAGGAGCTGAGCTGTCAACTGATCACCACCTGATAGTGAGTTGGATCAGATGGTGGGGGAAGATGCTGAACAGACCCGGTAGACCCAAACGTGTAGTGAGGGTTTGCTGGGAATGCCTGGCAGAAGAACCTGTCACAAAGATCTTCAACTCACACATCCGGAGAGGCTTAACCACATCCCAGCTGAGGTGTGGGACATTGAGTCCGAGTGGGCCATGTTCCACGACTCAGTTGTTGAAGTGGCTGCCTTGAGTTCTGGCTGCAAAGTTGTCGGTGCTTCTCGCGGTGGACATCCTCGAGCTCAGTGGTGGACACCCTGGGTTCGGGAAGCTTTGAAGCTGAAGGAGGACTCCTATCGGTCCTTGTTGGTTGGCGGGACTCAGGAGGCAGCTGAGGAGTGCCAGAGGGCCAGGCAGTCTGCAGCATTTGCCGTCACTGAGGCAAAAGCTTGATGTTGTAAGGCTGTCTTGGTTGACATGCTTTTGCAACATCAGAGTCAGAGTTTCTAGGTGTGTTAGTTCCTTCTGAAGTCCACGACCATCTCCTTTGTATTCTTCACATTGATCGAGTAGACATCTGGGGTAGTGCCACTGGATTGGCAGACTGGTGTGGTGGTTTCCTTCTTCAAAAAGGGGGACCGGGGGGTGTTCTCCAATTACAGGCATTACTCTCCTTATCATCATTGGTAAGGTCTATTCAGGGGTACTGGAGAAGCGAATTTGATCGTTGGTCGAACCTCAGATCCAGGAGGAACAATGCGTGTTCCGGCCTGGTCGTGGAACACTGGACCAGCTCTTTACCCTCACTGGGGTCCTCAAGGAGTCATGGGAGTTTGCCATTCAGTCTACATGTGTTTTGTGGACTTGGAGAGAGCATAGGGGGCATCCAACTGTGCTCCTCAAGTTACATTGTGGGGAGTGCTCCGTTAGTATGGGATTGGTGGCCCGTTGTTACAGGCTGTTCGGTCCCTATACAAACGGTGCGAGAGTTTGGTTCACATCGCCGATAGTAAGTCAGACCCCTTCATGGCAGAAGTTGGACTCCACCAGGGCTGCCCATTGTCACTAATTCTGTTCATAACTTTTTTGGACAGAATTTCTTTGTGCAGCAAGGGGGCAGAGGGTTTCTGGTTCGGTGGCCTCAGGATTCCATCTCTGCTCTTTGCAGATGATGTGGTCCTGTTGGCGTCATCATGCCGTGATCTTCAGCTCTCACTGGAGCAGTTCACAGCTGAGTGTGAAGCAGCTGGGATGAAGATCAGCACCTCCAAATCTGATGCCATGGTCCTCAGTCATAATTGCGTGGATTGCTCTCTTCAGGTCGAGGGTGAGGGTCTGCCTCAAGTGGAGGAGTTCAAGTAGCTCTGGGTTTTGTTCATGAGTGGGGGAAGAAAAGAGTGTGAGATTGACAGACGGATTGGTACAGTGTCTGCAGTCTTGCGAACTATGTAGTGGTCTATTGTGGTGAAGAGGGAGCTGAGCTATAAGGCAAAGCTCTCTGTTTACCAGTCGGTCTACGTTCCTACCCTCACTTATGGTCACAAGCTCTGGGTCGTGACTGAAAGAAAGAGATCACGGATACAGGCGGTTGAAATTAGTTTCCTCCGCAGGGTAGCTGGACTCACTCTTAGAGATAGAGTGAGAAGTTCAATTATCAGGAGAGACTGAGTAGAACAGATTTTGCAGATTTTAAATTTAGAAGTATTAGCCTCTTGGCCAGCAGAGTTGTGAATGATATTAAGTCCTATTTAACAGGAGAGGGAGCACGAAAAGTAGATCACAAAGAAAGGATATTATATATATATATATATATATATATATATATATATATATATTTTTTTTTTTTTTTTTTTTTTTTTGGTTTATATTTTTTAATGTTTGTTTTCATAAAAGATTGTAACTTGATTTTAGTGATGGGCATGTCAGTCTTCCTGCAGCAGTGTGATTCAGAACATGGTGCTGGAGTTTGTATCAAAACACCACCGTCACGTGACAAATGGTGTTCGGGGGGGTGGGGGTCAAACTGGAGACCTTCCGATCACAGGCTCGACTTCCTTTGTGCCACTGCTCCCCCTTTTCAAAAACAAATGTTTTTTTTCTTTTTTAAACAGGGAACCTTGTTGTACTTTTAAGTGTCTAAAATATATTTTTTAATGCGTAACACTTTTTCATTCAACCTTTATTTAGACAGGTAAATCCCATTGAGCCTCGAGGACTCATTTACAAGAGAGACCTGATTTCAACAAAGAATGATGACAACAATGGACAACAGCAACAACAATAAACAGTTATAAAAAGTCATCCTTTTTTTAAACAAATAGGATGGCTAAAAAAAAGAAAAGTAAAAAGAAAAGAAAAGTAACAAAAAACAGCTAGATTCTAAGGCGAATGTAGAAAACTAAAAACAGGAACATGTCTGCATTGGTCCCTGCCAGGAGTCCAACAGATTCTTAAAGCCACTTAGAGAGGTCAAGGTCGAGAGCTTCAGATCTTTTTGTAAGATATTCCAAGAAACAGGAGCAGAGCAGTAGAAGGCCCTTTTGCCAAGTTCAGTCCTCACTGAGGGAACACTGCAGGTAATAATGTCTTGAGAGCGCACGCTGTAGCTGCACTCATGCAGAGACATGAAGGAGGAGATGTATGAAGGCAGCAGACCAAGAAGTGATTTAAAGATGAAAATGTACCAGTGAGAGAGTCTGCGTGAAGTTAATGATGTCCAGTTAACTAGTGAATACTGGGTGCAGTGGTGGGTACGATAATCACAGCCAGTTATGAATCTTAGTGCACCATGATAGACAGCATCCAACATCTGCAGGGTTCTTGTAGGAGCGTTCATGTAAATAATGTCACCGTAATCAATGGAGGGAAGGAAAGTCACAGATACAAGGTGTTTCCTAGCATTCAGAGTTAGACAGGATATGTTTCTGAAAAAGAAACCCAGTTTAACTTTCAGTTTCTTTACCAAGTTTTCCACATGAAGCTTAAAAGAGAGATGTGAGTCGACCAAGATACCCAAATATTTATAGGAATCAACAAACTCAATGGGGACACCATTTGAGGATGAGATCAGAGGAGGAACTGCTGGGACCAACTTCCTATTTGAAAAAAAGCATCCCTTTGGTTTTGTCGGCATTTAGGACAAGTTTGAGGCGAAACAAATCAGTCTGGATGTAGTTAAATGCAGATTTCAAAAGCTGGAAAGTCTTAGCAACAGTTTTAGCTCGACAATAAACAACTGTGTCATCAGCATAGAAATGTATGGATGCATTAGGGATGTTTTTATCTACGTTATGTATGTAGATTGTAAAGAGGGTGGGTCCTAAGACTGAGCCTTGTGGTACACCATTGTTGACCGTTAAATAACTGGAGGAAGTACCATTATGTTGAACACATTGCCTCCGGTCTGAAAGATAGTTAGAGAACCAACCAATGGTGTGTTCTGAGAAACCAATTTCTGAGAGTTTATGACACAAGATGTTATGATCCACAGTGTCAAAAGCTTTAGACAAGTCTAAGAAAAGTGCAGCACAATGATCCTTAGCATCCAGTGCTTCAACAACGTCATTAAGAACCTTCAGTGAAGCAGTGGTTGTGCTGTGTTGTTTCCTGAAACAAGATTGATGTGGAGGTAAGATGTTAAATGAGTCCAGGTAATTTTTGATTTGAGAGTTTATCAGTTTTTCTAGAACCTTGGCTAAAATGCAGAGTTTTGAGATTGGTCGATAGTTGTTCAGTGAGGTGGGGTCTCCTCCCTTCAGCAAAGGCAGAACAAAGGCTGTTTTCCAAGTGTCTGGGATGGAGTTTTGTCTTATGGAGAGATTGAAGATGTGGGTCACAGGGACTGTGATGATATGAGCAGCCAGCCTTAAGAAATAAGGTGGAAGTTCATCTGGACCTGCAGATTTTTTAGGATCAAGATCTTTTAACAGTTTATTGACCTCACTGACTGAGAATGGAGAAAAAGAGAAGGAGTGATTAACTGAGGATTGACTTGTAGGAGGGATTTGATTTGTAGAAGTTTGGTTATTAAGTGAAGTGGCTGATTTTCCATTAGTAACTGTGTCAAATAAAGAACTAGAAGCAACAAAATGTTTGTTGAAACAGTTCAGGATCTCGTGCTTATTTGACACAGGAACAGAGTTAACGAGAAGTTGTGATGGGAGGTCAGATGATTGGGGTGTGCCTGAGAGAGATTTGATGGTTTTCCAGAATCTGTTAGGGTCATTTAGATTTTTGGAGGTCTGAGATAAGAAATAGTTACATTTTGCAGCTTTGATGGCAGTTGTGCATTTATTCCTCATCCTCAACACAAACATCATTATTATATACAAATGGACAAAACGTATGCTTGACCAGTCCTTTCTAAACTTAATTTGCTGACCTGGATTGAAACAGAGTCGGTGCTTCGGTCGCACTCGTGAGGTTGTTCTGGATCCAGTTGTTCTCCAGATGTCTCCAACACATAAAGCTTGAAGCTTTGAAGAAAAGCCCGAGTGCTTCATGAGGCTTCACATGCTCATCACTACCTGTTTTAAAAGTTTCACATCCAACCATAAGTAGAATCACCTATTGGTGTACAAAATGACAAAACAGTGGAAAAAATGAAATCCTGACGCATCAGAGCGGCGAAGTGAATAAAATAAAATACTAATAAAAATTTCCAGGGAACTTAAACGATGAAGACTCATTTATTTACGATGATTTTAATTTTAAAAGAGCATTGATGTATTTTATGGTCAATTGTTTTTAATTCTATATTTGCTTTTATGCTACTTTATTTTATATTATCTTGTGTCCTTATGTTTTAAGTATATTAGTTTGATGTTTTCTTCCCTGTGAGAAGTGTTAAAGTTTACTTGTTTTTTTAATTTTAGGCATATCTTAAAGAAGCAGACATTCCCCTGCTGTAAATAATTTAACTAGTGGTGTGAAAACATTGAATATAAATGTTAACATGGCTTTGTCTGTTTAATAAATTGTCTTCTCGTGATTATAGTTTAATCTATGCTAAGGAACTCATGTGGTTGTTACAGTTTGTCTAAAAGCTTGACATTTTTCAAAATATTACAATAAAATATACGTTTTCTAAAGGTAGGAGGTGTCTCAACTCAGTGATTAACTTTTCATGTCAGATCAGGAATCAAGGATTTATTTTTTCATTTATTCATGGCTAAGTATGCAGCGTCCCATGGCTTGTGTTTTGAATATTATTATTATTTTCTTCATAACTTCATCACGTAATCTTTATTAAATAAAAAAGGATACTTGTGAACATGTTCAAAATTAAAGATTTTATTTTGCTTGTTGTATACATCTCAAACGTCACTGAGATACAGCATCGAGGCAGCAGCGGCCAACAGGACAGCAGCTGTAGCCATGGCAACACCTAAATGAAAAGAACAAGGATTTTTAAAATGTGTGTCAGCTGCTAATAAAAAATACATTTTGCGTTTCTGGTGTGATGGATTTCCTTCATTTACAATAAAAATGGCACATGTTAAATTAAACCAGCAGATAAGAAAGCCTCCAACAAAAACTGACACAAAAATCTAAAACTCACTGCTCTTAAAGAAAATATACAATTTTGTTAAAAAAAATTGTACTTGAATTTAAGACACGTCTGTTCAAGAGAGAATTAAAGTTCTGACTGTGCGGGCTGACACTTCTGCACATCTGCGCATGTTTGATGAAGGAAATCAGAATTTAAATAAAACCACAATAAAATTTTAAAGCCTGTTATTAAACTTTGTATCCAACATGTGTGAAGAGTTCCACCATGGGATCAAGATGGAATAACACGGAGCCTGTTCTTTTATTTCTCAAATCTCTGAGATTTAGAGTTGATGTGCAAAAACTTTACAGCGCTCAACAGAAATGCTGAGCCATCCATGAAGACAGCACCCATTAAACCCAGATCAAACACACTTGAGAGGTTTGATGGCTGCTAAAGGTCCCAGTAAGAACTACATGTTATTATCATCTTGTTACTTTTATTTTACTTTATTTTCTTTCCCACAAATGCATTAAAATCAACTACTTTCCTAATTTTTGAAGCATTTAAAAACTGGAAATAAACTGAGCAGAACTGAATAAGAGTGGTGTTTATTTCAACTCGTTGAGATCATCTAAAGCTCAACTACAGTACTGTGTGCATGTTCTTCTTATCATGAATCAAGCGCTGGATTTAAGATCTTTAAGCAGATGTTACCAATAAAGTTGTTCCTCTTGGGTTCAGGTGTGTCAACAGTTTCTGCAGTCGGTTCTGCAAAATACACAAAATAAAAATACATAAACAACTTGGTCACTTAAACTTGCTTTTAGCTTGTTTTGCTAATGAGTGGAAATGAGAGAAACTCGTTGCAACAGGTGCAATTATACAAAATTAGATTGGTGTTGGCAAAAATAATAAAAAAAAACTTGCACACTTAAGGAAAGGATAAATCTTAAGAAGTAAAATATGTTCTAAAGCGTGAACTTAAAAAACAGTGCAAATTACTGAAGTATTCCTTGATTAATTTGTTCTAGTTTATCTTCTTCCTCAGTGATCAGCTGTTTCACTGGACAGTCGAATGATCTGGACTTTAACAAGAACTGGCAGAGACATGTGTGAAGAAACATTCATCTCCTGTACAGTGGATATAGATATAGAACTAGTTCACTACAGTAACCCTACAAAGACTTTTAGCAAATAACAAAATTACAACTCAGCAGCTTTCTTTAATAATTTATTTTGACATATTCAATGCAAACTCTGGATTGTTGCGGTACACAAAGCTAACTTCAACAGATGACTATGAGACTATGGATACCATGTGATCCTTCAACCAGCTTCTTTATAGCCCACCCACGATAACTGAAAAATCGCGAAGTAGGGAATGTAAGTAAATAGGTATGCTGCTGATTATCTCATGCTGCTGATTATCTCATGCTGCTGATTATCTCATGCTGCTGATTATCTCATGCTGCTGTACTCATTCTCTATCTGCTCACCACAGACTCATGTTCAGGCTGCTGTTGTTACGCCATATTGTTTTACATTATTAGTGTTTAGTTTATATCTTAGATCCTTATTTACTGTTTATTTTTATACTTTATAGTTTGCTATTTTTGGGTGTAACTGGGACCTTGAGTACATAATTTTGTACCACCTCACGTACCACATGTGACGCAAATGACAAAATTGACTTGAACTTGATACACTGTCTGGCCCCCCAAAAAAGTTGCCACCTGGATTTAACTAAGCAAATAGGTACGAGCCTCCCATTGGATAATTACTGCATGGGTGATTGTCTTTCAGCTGACAACAAGTTATTTAACCACAGCTGGTGTAATGAGTTGCTTCTCATTTCTTAAACAGCTGTGTAGCCTAAAGAAAATCACTAATCAGTGAGGCTAATTGGAAAAAAAGGTTTCAGTTTGCTAAGGAGCATAAAGATTGGACTCTGGAGCAATGGAAGAAGGTCATGTGGTCTGATGAGTCCAGATTTACCCTGTTCCAGAGTGATGGTGCATCAGGGTAAGAAGAGAGGCGGGTGAAGTGATGCACCCATCATGCTTAGTGTCTAGTCATCAATGCAAGATCTTGGTGAAAAATTACTGCAACACTGGATGGAAACAGATGTTGTGACATTATAGAAGTTTATTGAAACAATGACACAGTGAATGCATGATGTAATCAAAGATAAAGGAGGTCCAACGAAATATTAGTGTGTTACCTTTTAGTTTGGTGGCGACTGTTTTTTGGCCAGGCAGTGTATTTTATTATAATAATATAATATATACTGTATGAATTTTTTAGAAGAATCAACAGTATTGTTTCATTTAGTTGATATAAGAAATTTAACAAGGGCAGGTAAAGGAAAGCATTATTCCATTTATTTTATTTTTATTGTGAGTGAAAGGCCACATTTGTAGATAAATACAACCAAAAGTACTGTATTTTTGTCTGCATACTGTATTGTGTGGTGATACTATTGCAAAAAATGATACTGCATATAAACTTATTTATTTCCATATAACCATACTCCGATAAAACAAGAAAATAAATAATCTTATATTACAGGGCTGAAACTACTTTTAGAGTGAAAACACATTTGGACAAGTCTATGACTAGAAACACAATAAATAAACAATAATAAGCGGTCCTCCCACCTGCTGTAGCATCGCTCTGTATCATTTCAGCAGGTATTTCCTGTGTCGTGTCCAAGTCTTCCTCGGCTGCATCCATGTCGAGCATCTCCTTGAGCCGCTCGGTCAGCTCAGACACACCCTCGTCACTGAACTGGTAATCACTCACACACAGCGAACCTTTCACTGGACAAAAGACACGCCGAGGGAGGAAGAACTGCTCTGAAACAACGAGAGGAGGAGGAAATGTTAGTATTTTATTTCTACTTTAATGTTTTTAATGAACGTTTAATGTTTGTTGACACCTGACATTTTGAATTGACACCAAACACTTTTCAAGGAAGCCACAAATAAGATATTATTAAAAAGTAATTTCATGATTTTTCTTAATTTTTTTATTATGTTTAATCAGTTTTATATTGTCTATGCTCAAATATACTATTTGAATTTTGATTTAGATGCAACCCAGCTAATTGAGTTTGAATCCGTTAGGTATTGATAAACTAAATAATTGTATTAGAAAATAATAAATAAGTTGCTGGAAGGTTTTATAGTAAGTTTGAAGCAGCTGATTTCACATCTACAACGTCCTGCAGCTCTGTCACAACAATCCCAACTGTAGACTGCTTCGACCGTCACATTCACCAAAACATTTTATATATACTGGTCTGTGGAAGACTGGAACACCAACTATTCAACGCTAACAGTTTCAACAGCATCAGCTGACTTAATAGCTTTAATTTAAATTTCTCCTAATAAACCCTGTCATGCTGTGAGTTTCTTTTTTATTTATCTTGTCAAACTTAAAAGTTTAAAGGTGTAGACTAGAACGTCAGTAAACTCAGTGATGTCAGTTGTGCTGAAATCTTTGTCTGCTTTGTTAAATAAAGTTCCTTATTGTGTTTAAAAACAGCATTTTTCTTATCATCAAAGTTCATGCTCAATAATCCAGGTTAAAAAAAAGTTCAACAAAGTTCGGTCAGGTCCTCTGGACTGTTTCTTGTTTCTTTTAAACGTTTCATCTTTTATCCACAGGACTTCATCAGTCCGAGGAGCCACAACAAACAAGCAGCATAGTCCCGTAGTGGGCCAAGCAGTTTGATGTGATAAGATGGTTTCTTAACACCTTAGATTGTTTCTTATGGATTACTGAGCATTAACTTTGATGATTTGAACCACTTTGGCCATGGCTGCCTCAGAGGAGTCGATGGGGGAGAGGGCAGACTCCAGAAACCATCTTATCACCATCATACTGGTTGGTCCACCATGTGAGTGTGCTGCTTGTGGTACTGAGTTTGTTGTGGCTCCTCGGACTGAAGAAGTCCTTTGGATGAAGGACGAAACGTTTCGACAAAAATAAAAGAAACCGTGCAGAGGACCTGACTGAACTTTGTTGGAGCATTTTTCTTAGTTTATCAACAACTATAATTCCAACCAATTTCTTGTTTTTGATGTCACAACCAGAGTTTTATCATCAAAGATCATCTTTAAATACATTTAGTTTCATTTTCCTTAATTTGGACTAAACTGTAACACTTTTACACATCGTTCTATGTATTTTATCAACTCTGAGCTTTTCATCTCAACAAACACTCCAGGACTGATTGCTGCTCAACACACCCATGATCGTGTCCTGTGGCTGAGTGGTTAGAGCACTCGTCCTCCAGTGTGAGAGTTGGGGGTTCGAATCCACCAGCAGTCACATGCTGAAGTGTCCCTGGGCAAGACACTGAACCCCTCATTGCCTCTGATGTGTGTCCCATCAGTGTATGAATGTGAGCTAAAGCTCTGATTAGTCTCTTTAAAATGATTTGTTCAATTAGCTTTGTAGAGATCTAGTATAGAGCTGTATGAATGGGTAAATGAGGCACAGATTGTAGTGTAAAGAGCTTTGAGTATCTTGATAAGATCAAAAGGCGCTGTATAAGTACAGTCCATTTGCCATTTACCATCACAGTGAGTACAGAAACCTACGACTGGATGAGCAGACTCTGCTCATGTTGTTACCCGTCTGTCTTTTGTCTCGGCTGCTCGCTTCATCAGACGTCAGTAACTCCTCCAGCAACATCTGAACCCTTGTGGCCACTGTAGAAACTACATCCCTCTTCAGCAGCTGTCCATGAGAGAAGGTTGAAGATCATCATACTGTAATAAAATATTCATGATGTTAACTTTATAAATAAAAGCAATACCTTCTCTGCCAGTTTGGCTTTTGGTTTGTTGCTGTGGAAGAAAGCTCGACTGTGGATAGCGCCGCTGACCGACACACTGCCTCCACACCTCTGCACCACATCTGCTGACCTCTGCACATCCTAACACACAGGAAGTTCAACTATCCTTACACAGTCATGTCAAATGTTACCCAAATGTATTTAAAAGTTGTATCTGAGCTATTTTTTTATACTCGTGTACAACTTAAAGCATAACACATACATTCCTTGAATGGGTTCATCTCTTACCGGTTTGATGAGCAGCTGAGCTGTGTACGACTGTTTCAAGTTCCTTTTCTGTAAAGAAACACAGTTTATTAGAATTATATTTCTTTTTTTACATAAAACACATAATATATTTTGAATAGCTGACACAATTGGGGAGAGTTTTATTTCCTCTGTAAGCCCTGAAAAAGTCAAAATAGCCTATTATACTCAAAGCATCTCTTCTCTCAGTCTAAAGGCTCTTTGCAAAATCAAATGCACGGAGATACGTTGAATTTTGTAGATCTCTGTAAAAGTGAGTCTATATGATCAGTAAACATATAAAACAAACACCGGAGGCTTTTATTTACTCTTCTCATCTGTACCTGCTGGGAAGAGGTTTTGTATAATCAGGGCTTAATTTGTAAACCAGTCGAAGCCGGAACGCAAATAGTAGGTGGGCCGGCTGGCGGGGGGGGGGGGGGGGGGGGGCTAGGGATGTGCATGCTCACAAGACAAGAACCTGACAAGTTGTTTAATGACATAAAATATATTTTGTTAGCAAAGAATAGAGTCCTAACATTTAATTTATTAAACATTACTTCTGTATTTACACACACAAAAAACATCAAAATTGTGCTTTGACAAACTCATTGATAAAATTAAAACACTTTGTCAACGCGACAGAGGGAAAAAGGGCAGTTATCACTCTTGCTTTGAGTTTACTCTTCGTTGCATGTGTGCTGTGGGTGACAAGCGTCCAGAGCGTCATAAAAACAGCAGCGGAGGTGTCGGAGTTATTTATTTATCGTCTCGGCAGCAGAGGGGAGCGACACGGTTCAAGCATGGCTCCCCAAACAACAAGGCAGTCATATTTGTTCATAACTTTCATTAGTAAGCCTGAGAGTCGCTGGATCCAAGCAAACAGTTGTCGGAACGCACCCTGTCAAAATAAGAGCGTTCCCGGATCTTGTTCCTGGAGGATCCGGCTCAAATTAAACACGGTCTATAAGATAATACAACCTGCCCTCCTTTGAGCTCGAAGTCCTCTGGAAGCTTTTTCCCATCAATCAAACAAACTCCACTTTCAATTTGGTGTGCCCATGATTCCAGCTCTTCCTGAACCAAAAATAAATTAATAAATTAACCAAGAACAGTTTCAAGCAACTTTACAAAAACACAAACAACAAAAAGATTTACAAATGTATACACCAGAGTCTGTGTGCGCTAACCTTGAGACAATGATCAATGGTTTTTGCACTGGTCATATTTGGCAGAGGTACCAACATGTCCACTTGCAGCCAACATGACACCATGGCCCAGGAGGAGCACACGCCTGACTGGTGCTTCCAGTCTGCAGGCCTGGCCACACTCTGAAACACACACACACACACACACACACACACACTAATGTGACAGTGTCGGACAACAACAGAACATGTCAAGAATCAAACATTACGTCAAACCAGGACTGATGTCCAAGTTGGATCCCAAACAAGTTAAATTAAGTTGAGCAGAAGGTTTAAAGTTGAATAAAGAAGCACAAAAGGCTCCCGCTCAACTGATTTGGTCACAATTAAAATCAAGTTTATAAAACATCTCAGAGGCACGCTAATCAATCCGAATGACATTTAGAACGTTTCAGCAAAACAGATTCAAACGTCAAAAGACATCTCTGGAGATACGTGACCAAAAATTTACAACAAGAAAAAATAGATCGTACCCAAATTAGCAAATATTGCTGAAGTAAAAGTAAAATACATGGTTTTAATTAGAAGGACATCCTTATCAGGTTTGAATTTTAGATGAAGTCAAATCTAGAAATGGTGTCATTATTTAACAAAAACAGTTAAAGAGTGAAAAATGATGTCATGAGTTATAATTCTTTTGCAGTTCTGTTGATCCGTCTTGATAAGGACCAGTTGGTTTAATATTTTGAACCTTAGTGTTTTGTGTTTTATCACGACTGTGGTCATGGAGACAGTATGGGGAGTGGTGGCGCAGAGGTTAGAGAAGATGGGCCTGTGATTGGAAAATCATAGGTTCAACTCCCCGAACTGACAACATCAAAATGGGGGTGGAAAAGGTGAAACACCCACACCTGCCTCCACCCTCATTTGCCTCACTCTGGGCCCATGAGCAAGGCCCTTAACCCCCACCATCTGCTCCCAAAACAGGTCTCTCTCTGTATAAATAAAGGGTAAATTAAAATAAAAATTATATTTTTAATAACTGCAGATGAAAGCTCTTACTTTTCAGAGACAAATCACACAAACTAACCTTTGGGTCTTTGACGTCAAAGGTTCTGCAGACAGTTCTGACGCATGTAGTTAAAGTTGATTTGCATACAAAGTGAGGTCGTCAACGTTAGACTAGAGCACGACTGTAAAAAAGATACTTCCTGGTTTTGGGATTGACGTGCAGCGTGACGCAGTCTGTGACGTCATCATCTGAAGAGCTCCACAGCTGCTCCGAGGAGATTAAATTGTTCACTGCAAACACCAACTTCACACACAAACACACGCAGGGTTATTAAATTGGTAGAATACACTGATCTTGTATACTCGTTGCCAAGTTTGATCATTGCTATAAATAAAACTTTATATATGAGGAAACCCAAAACATCCACTGGACTTTTACATATCGTTATATTGTCCTCAGTGTGCTAGTCTGATAAACAAGTGAAGGTTTACATATTATTTACAACAATGGAAGAAATGTGATATAATGTTTTACTGGTGACAATAAAATGTAGAGTTTTAAAGTTCTACTATAATAGTTTCACACAATAAGCCCATCAAGCTCTAGGAGAACACAGTTTGTATTTTATAACAATCCTTTTCCAGTCCACTCAAGCAGTGACCATCTGGGCAGATCACAAAAGATGGAATGGGATAAATAAACACAGTTATTACAGACAAAAAGCAAGCCCTTTCATCTTAGACTGTTTTGTAATTAATAATTATGAGTATATGACGATTTAATGAGATACTCATGTTTGAAATAAAATTGCCTGCATTTTAAAAAGTTACTTACTTTTTATTGATTTATTTTTATTTTTATGAATTGATACAGTATGTTTTACAGCCCACATGGAGAAGAACCTACAGAAAAAAAAAGAAACTTTGACTCTGGATAAATAATGTTATGAAGATTATTTTGATACCTGAAGTGTTGCCCTCTGAGCAGAGGGCAGGGTTGCAGCTACATCTTTAAGTTTGACATTTTCACGTCTTCTTGTTTTTGTTGAACAAATAGAACAGAATAAAACTTGCCACTGTAGTTATGCATTTATGTTTGTAATAATATGGATTTTACCTGTCGGAGTGTGGTTAGTGCGTCCTTGGCATCACTATCAGATATTATAAAGACTCCCAACACAAACAGGCCTCCGGGCAACATCCTGGACACCTGAAAACCAGTAATAAATATATTCTGCAAAGTTTAAATCCTACAAACATTGTCCAGTTCTGAAAGAGCCATGTCTGTCTTGCCTTAAGAGCTGACTCACATGTTATACGCTAATTAATTTTTATCTATCAAACAATAAATGTTAAAGCATGTATTAGTACTAAATCAGAACGTCTGCTTGTTTTGCCCACCTGTCGAGCGTGTTCGGTGACCCACTCTTTGTCCACCAACTTCCCATCTTCTTCAGACTCTTCTTTCTGGGGTGTCCGCACTGCCATGACAACAAAATCTCTCTGGACTGAACTCTGAAAAATTCAGTAATCAATATTAGTGAGTCACTTCTCGCATACTACACACACGCATTACACACACCATATTATTAATCTATTTTAATAATAAAACATATGTCTTAGCACAGTGATGGCTGGGCATGGGCACCAGTGACCCTTGCGACCCAGAAAGGAAGAAGCGGGTAAAGATGATTGACTGATTGATTGATGGATGGATGTGTTAGAACTTTTTAAACACAATTCTTAAATGTATACTGGTCACAGGTTCTGAAACATGAAATACGTTTAGTCTTTTCTGTAACAAAGACGTTTTAGAATGTAAGACAATCTAATTCATTTTTTAATGTTACTTCAGCTCATTTATTGTTGTTTTTATTTTACATTTTTACTCTAATACCTACTATTTGATGACATTTTTAAACAAATGATGAATGTACACATTGAAAATAAGCATAGCTTTAGCCCAATTCTTTAACATGACACTAAAACCTGGATACAAGAGCACCTGAAAACATTTGTATTAGTTTAAAACAACAAAGTCCATGCTCAATAATGTGGTTGTTTTCAACCAGTTTGACAAGACTGTCAACAAGGAAGAGGGCCGGCAATGGAGGAGGGGCGTACCAAAGAGACCATCTTATCACAAGCAGAACTGGTTTGTTCCACTTTGGATTAAGCTGTTGGGGGAAGAATCAGTTTTGTTGTGCGTTTCCTTGACTGATGAAGCCTTCTGGATCGAAGGCGAAACGTTTCAGCACAAAAAAAAAAGAAACTGTCCAGATGACCTGACTGAAAAATGCTGGATTGGTATTAGTGTTAAACTCACCTGTCCAATGAGCAGGCCTGTGACTGTACCTGCTTGTTGTGAACAGAGTTTAGACAAATATCCCTCCACATCATCTTCTACTATATAGCTACGACCCATACTGTCAAAGGAAGAAATGCAGCAGACAAAAATGATCATTATTATAACATTTCTCTTGTCAGTGTTTGTTTTATGACAATGCTGATAAACATGAAGACCAGACACTACTAAACGACACAAAATGAGTATGTTATTTCACTTTACAGGCGTCACTAAAAGAAAACAAAAAGTACAGTAATTAATTTAAATAAAACGTAAGGTAAGCTTTAATAAAGACATTTAATCTAAGTACTAGCTGGCCAACTTTAGCTTGTTTCAGTTTTATAAATAACATTTAAATGAGCATTGACCTTGAAATTTGAGAAACTCCACTTGTCTTGGGAAAATATCTGACAAAACTAAAGGAGAAGAAAAGTTAAAGACAGAAAAATGGATGATTGCTGATAAGTTTGACAGCTGGTTGTGGTTCGTCAGCACAGCTAAAACTACACAGCTTCGCTGTCACGTACATCCGTCGCACGTCTTAGTCGTAATCAGTGTTTGTCGCACGAAAGAGACGTTTAACGCACGTTTCCGATTTTTCTTCAAAGTACAACACAAACTTTTTTTTAGTGACAATCAAACCTTAAACTTTGGAAACAAAATTTGTACTAAAAATGTTCATTTAAATAAAGGTGTTGAGTTGGGACTATTGAAAACTATTTATGTCATAGAATATCGGAAAGCATCGTTTTGCACAACCTGATGTAACTTTATTTTGAAAGTTATTCGAGCACATCCTGTTTCTGTACGCCTCCATACTTTTGTCGTTCTAGTTCGGTTTTGCTATGTGGTTAGCGTGTAATGTCCAAGAGTTTGGCGTCAGTTTTGTGTTATAGTTTTCGGAGGAGTGGGTAAAGATGGCGCTCGTTTTACTACAGGCTCTAGAGCGGACGGAGCTAAACAAGCTTCCTAAAGGCGTCCAAAACAAGCTCGAGAAGTTTGTAACGGAGCTGCAGAATGCTAACGAGGCGCTTCAGACGCAGCACGAGCGGTTCAAAGCGGACAGCGGTGGGTAACAAACAAGTTGAAACGACTTTATTATCTTTGTCAGCTACACTATACGGATTGTGTAAACTTTGCTATGCAAAATAAACATGTTCTGCTCCGTTCGGCATGCAAGCTATCGCCAAATCAGTTTCATTACGGCTCTAAACTGTAGCTATGTTGTTAGGCTAAAGCTAGATTTGGCGGAAAGCTAGCCATCATTCATTCATGTGACTGAACGAAGCCAGCAGGTTTTCCACATCAACCTTCAAGGTTCTTGTACCACATGTGGTACATGAGGTGGAACAAAATTGTGCACTCAGGTCCCAGTTACACCCAAAAATGGCAAAAATATAAAGTATGAAAATAATCAGTATATAAAGATCTAAGCTGTACACTAATACGATATATTAAAACAGCAGCCCGAACATGAGTCTGTAGAGAGCTGATGGGTATGAACACAGTATAAAGGCAAGAGATCAGCAACATGTATAATCAGCAGCACAGATAAGCTGCATATCATCAATTAAAGTGGCATTACATGTGATTTTAGTAGTAGTAAAGTTTAGAGTAAAAAGTTTTAAAGTAAAGTTTAGTAGTGATTTTTGTTTTCTTTACAGTATTATCCTAGTTAGGGATTTATGAGTCTGACATCCATTATTTTTTACCCGCTTCTTCCATTTTGGGTCACAGGGGTCGCCGGTGCCCATGTCCAGCAATCACTGTGCGAGGGGCGGGCTACACCCTGGACAGGTCTCCAGTCCGTCACAGGGACACATGGAGACAAACGAGACAAACAATCATTCAGTCTCTCACTCACACCTAGGGACAATTTAGAGTTACCAATCAGCCTAACATGCATGTTTTTGATCTGTGGGAGGAAACCGGAGTACCCGGAGAAAACCCACGCATGCACGGAGAGAACATGCAAACTCCACCCAGAAAGGCCCCTGGACCAGGATTTGGACCAGGGACCTGCGCACTGAGAGGCAGCGGCTCCGCCAGTTGCGCCACTGAGTCTGGCACAGGACATGATTATATTAAAAGTTACTGAATTTTCCACTGCATTTAAGCCAAAATTAAGAGCAGTTGCCAACTTGCTAAATGTAACAATGTTCTTACTCTTGAACAAGACATATTACTAGAAATTGGGGTGAAGTTTTGCCCGGCGTTATATACTAAAGGAAACGTAGTGTTTGTCATGCTTAAGTGTCACTTTCAATGTCGTCTCATCAGTATTTGGAAAAGTTAAAGCGATTTCCATTTTCGTAACCTTCAGATGCTAACGTTGTAGCTCTTTAAATGTTTACAGTACTTTACATAAAATTAAAGTGTTACTGGTTTTTTGCGCATTTGCTCAAATTTCAACTAATTTATTCAGACAGAAGTGGGGAATAGAAATTAACACCTTACAACTGAATATTTTTCATTTCATGCATATTTTTTGTGTAGTCATGCTTCCCTGTGTGATTTTATTTCCTTACAGAGCAGCAGTACTTTGACATTGAGAAGAGGCTGGCGGAGAGTCAGGAACAGATACTTTCTGCCACAAAAGACCTACAGGTTCTGAAAGAAGAAAATAAAAAACTCAGTGAGTTTTCACATAAACTTTTTAAAATTATATCAACAAAAAATGACAACTCAGTAGCTTAGAAGTAAGTGTTAACCTCCTGAGACCCGAGCTCTAGTTTGCGATGCATTTTTCAAATATCTCCTAGATATTTGTGATTCGATGGACCTGATTTGTGTATAAATAAAGTTTCCTCTTCGAACAGGAAGTTGTATTTTGTTACATGGTTATGACAAACTTTTGTCAAATAAAAAGTCTGCAGATGGGGACAATGGGCTTATTTTACAGCACACCACAACAACATTAACATGGCTTAACAAAGTATGAAACACTACTGAACAGAGTCAAGTATAAGGTACAGCAAAGCCAGAATGTAATGTCCCCATATGTGGACGCAGGGTCTCAGGACGTTAAGTAAGAGTGTGGGGATTTAGAACAGCTTTTATTGTACACATGGAGTTCCTGAGCATCATTATCATGCAGTGTTTCCCCTACCATTGTACAAGCGGGGTACCCCGTCAACAGAACCGAGCGCCCCGTCTGCCGAACCCCACCCCCACCCACCTGTCTGCACTGACGTAACGCTAAACTAGCGGCTCGCAATGCAGGTGCACTAGCTAAAAAGCTAAAGGCAGCCTTTTCCTTCATGCTGAACCCTCACGCTGAACTCACCCCCGCCACTCGAAAACTGTCGGTACAAACAGCACACGGCTCAGATGTGCGTCTCTCTTCCCCGCACCGACACACACACACACACACACACACACACACACCCCGGCCAAAAAACAAAAACAAACTGTCGGTTCAGAAAGCGCGCGGCTGAGATATGTCTCTGTATCTCTCCTTTCACACACCCTGCTCTAAAACTGTCAGTACAAACAGCACGTGGCTGTCTCGGTGTCCCCCATAACTGTTGGATTAAACAGCACGCTGCGCAGCTGAGGACGAGTCTCTGTCCCCCCCCCCCGACATAAGTCACAGATGAGATGAACGCCCCGCCATGGCAAGTTATCTAGGGGAAACACTGTCATGTATCCAACAATTTTCAGTCAAGTCATCTGGACAGTTTCTTTTTGTGCTGAAACGTTTCACCTTCCATCCAGAAGGCTTCATCAGTCAAGGAAACGCACAACAAAACTGATTCTTCACCCAACAGCTTACTACAAAGTGGAACAAACCAGTTATGTTGGTGCTAAAATGGGTCTCTTTGAGACCAGTTTGACATGATTGTCGACGAGGAAGAGGGCCGGCACCGGAGGAGTACCAAAGAAACCATCTTAGCACCAACATAACTGGTTTGTTCCACTTTGGAGTAAGCTGTTGGGGGAAGAATCAGTTTTGTTGTGTGTTTCCTTGACTGATGAAGCCTTCTGGATGTAAGGTGAAACGTTTCAGCACAAAAAGAAACTGTCCAGATGACCTGACTGAAAATTGTTGGATTGTATACCTGGATTATTGAGCACGGACTTTGTTGATAATCATGTATCGTTAATGATTTAACGTATTTTCATTTTCTCCAGCTACCTCCTGTTTGTAGTTTGTTTAAAACAGAGTATTTCATTGATTGTCTTTGTGCAGATGAAGAACTGAGCACACTTAGGGTGGAAGAGAGTGAGGCCACTGAAGAAAAGCTGCCACAGCAGGTAAGTACATATCACAGCTGTATCATCTGTATTTTTAAATGCAGTCAGAAAGCTGCCTCATGAACGAGCACATGGCCTGTTTGAAGTCGCTCAGTGTGAAAAAAATGTAATTGTTTATAAAAAGGAATCCTGAAAGCATTAATTATTGTATGAGCCTTATGTTTTCATGTACAAAAGCATTTTATTATAGTTAGAGTGCTGCATGTGAACAGTTTTTATAATATGTTTTTTTTTCTAGCAAACCAAGACAAAGTATGAGATTGAAGCGGAGAAGAGAGAGTTGGATAGGCTGCTGGAGAAGAGAGCACAGGAAATGGAGAACCTGACAGGTTTTTATTGAGTTTTATCAAATTTTGTTATTTAAAAAAATGATTGCGTTCTCACACAGAATTGTCCAAAATGTTCAGGCAGGTTTTCAATTAAAATGTTTATTTATCTTTTGACATTTTTGGTTACAACTGCAAAAGCACATGGTCTTCACACTTTCTGTTTCATAATTTTGTGTTTTCACAGAGGACGTGAAGCGACTGAACGAGAAACTGACAGAAACCAACAAAATTAAGATGGAACTTCAGTTAAAATTGGATGACATACAGTCCTCTGCAGCTTCTGTACAGGTACAGATCAGATTTACACAAACCACTGCAGCTTAGTGCTTAAGATGATGATGATGGAAGCATCTGAGGAAGGTTGTATCCCTTGTAAAGTTTTGAATATGATGGTGCTTCTTTGTGTTGCAGCATCGAGAGAAACTCATGGAACAAGAGAAAGAGCTGCTGGAGAAGAAAATTGAGTATTTAACCACAGAGCTGAAGACAAAAACTGATGAACTGTTGAACACCAACAGAGAGAAGGGCAAAGAGATACTTGAACTGCAGGGCAGCCTGAAGAGCAGCAGTGAGCAGGTAACATACAAATAAACACAACCTATCACTGTTATGTTTGCCAACATCACTGACTTCCCCCTTAGATATTGCTGTTGCTTCAGAAATGTGGTATAGTGGCAAGGTTTTGTTTGGTTCACAATTCTTACGCCTTCTCTTGCATTTATTTCTAACAGGTGGCCACACTGGAAAGTCAGCTCAGTTCTTTGAGGGAAATCAGTGAAAACCAGAACAAAAGAGCTGAAGACCTCAATATCAAACTAAAACAGGTAATATGGGAAAATCTAAGATGAGTTTGGTTAAATACCTTGTGGGGAAATGATTTACAGTACAGTAGTCCCTCGTTTATCCCAGGGGATCCGTACCCTGAAGACCCGCGATAAGTGAAAAACTGCGAAGTAGGAATAGTAGTACAAGTAGTAAGTAGTGGTTTATTTTATTATTTATATAGATATTTATAAAAGCATTTTAAACCCTTCCCACACTCTTGCAATATTCTAAACAATGTTTCTAAACTTTAAACTAGGGATGGGGCCAATCCGATCCAGTATCTGTATCGGATACCAGCATAATTTACGTATTGGATTTTTCCGATCCACCTGCCGATATTTCCGATCCATGATGCAGGTTGGCTTCAAACTATGGAATGGATTTCCTGAACGGCGGCGTGTCTCATGAACCCAGAGTAATAAGACCCGCCTCACATTCAGGAAATCCAGTTCATAGTTTGCAGCAGCTACAACGTGAGGACTGAGTTAGCAGCACTGTGGCTAACAGCTAACAAACTTTTCATCTAAACATGTCGCTGTGTGGAAGTATTTTACACTAAACACCACAAAACAAGACAGCAACGTGCAATGTCTGCAGAGTCATAGCGCCACATTAAACCGCGGTAAAGTTAGTTTTACGTTGGACATTCGAGCTCCGTGGCTTCAGTGGGGCGCTGCTCTTAATGGTCAAACTGAAAGAGGCGACTCGACCCCGGCCAGCCGTGTCCAATCTGCCCCGCTCAGTCTGCCCGTCTCTGAGGAGGGACAGACTGAGCACGGCTGCCCCAAATCAGGCTGCCTGCTTCAGATTGAACAAGAAGAAGACGTCGCTGAAACCACGGAGCTCAAATGTTTACAGAGAAGTTGCTAAACTTCATCATAATTAATGACCAACCACTAGTTGTAGAAAACAAAGGATTTCACAGCTTGATACTTGCAGTCAAGATGTAGTTTACCCTCCAGGAGATATTTATCAGTTCAACAGTAGATAATCATAAAAAACATAGGATTTGAAAATTATATGTATTAAAAACAAACAGCTACATTATAAAGTGATGTAAAATACTAAAAACAGGAACATGTCTGTTGGTTTATGCCATGAACTTAGCAGATGTTTGAAGCCATTTAACATTAAATTTAATTTAATTCATTCATTTAAAAGAAACAAAATAAAAAAAAAATCATCAAAAAGAAAACATTGAATGAAAAGAGTGCAGAAAGAAGAAAAAAATTCTTATATCTGCCCCTTATAAAATATAAAATAACTTTAAATAATCACTTAAAATTAATCACTTTAATATCCACTTTAAAACTAGGAATAAAAAGAAACATGTTTTGTGTTAGCAGAATTTAATTCTAACTTTAAAACTTATCCAACATTAATAAAACTTACCTCAAGTTGCCTTTTTGGACATGCATGCATATATTTGTACAAATTGTACTTGAGAGGAGATTATTACAGCCTCATATAAAATCTATGATGATCATGATATCGGAACTGGATCGGTATCGGTCGATACTCAGATCTAGGTATTGGGATCGGAAGTAAAAAAAGTGGATCGGCGCATCCCTCCTTTAAACGCACTAAGAGCAAAGAATGTCATGATTTCAGTTCCCTTCCTCCTCTGCTCTTGGCCGCTCTGCAGTTCAACAGCTGATCAGCTGTTGAACTGCAGCAGGAAGTTTATCCTGCAGCAGTAAGGGCTGCACAAAGCTGCAGGAGGAAGCTTTTTCTGCAGCTCTGAGCTGCACAAATGTGCAGCAGGTGCTAAATCATTTAAAATAATTAATTTTGAATAAAAAATTTTCATGCCCATCGTGCAGATCATCCATCAATCAGCCAATTGTGTCATGTCCAGTCTTATTTTGAACAACCGGGATAGCGTGAGTCTGAGATAAACAAACCGCGAAGTAGCGAGGGACTACTGTATTTTAAAAAAAAAATTTGTCCATCTTCCAAAACAAAATTTTAAAGTTTTATCTGTGTATGTGTTTATTTGTGTGTTTATTTGAAATATATGACTAGACTGTAAATTGTGTTTCTCCAGGCAAAAGATGATCAATGTGCAATGGAGGAGAAATATCGCAATGAGCTCAATGCTCATGTCAAGTTGTCTTCACTTTATAAGGTCAGTACAAACAAAGCTCTTAAAATAAATGAGCCCTGAAACGTACTATTACTTTTTTTAGATATTTTTGGTAAGAGGCATTATCCTCACGTTATCATATCCTGTTTTTTTAAATACTGTAGAATGGTTGTAATGCAACTTGTTTTATCTTTCTGTAGGGTGCAGCAACTGACACGGAGGCAAAGAACCAAGAGCTGAGCAGAGCAGTGGAGGAGCTGAGCAAGCTGGTTAAAGAAACAGGAGAAGGTAGGAGTTTACTACTAAATGGTCTTCTAAGTTAAGAAGACAGTCTATTTTGACTGAAGAGGTTAATGCTGCTGTTTTCAGTTTGTCACCTGTGAAATAAATAACCTGACATAAACTAGTACGTCTTCTTCATTATTTGCAATTAAACCGAAGCTTGAAACTTTAATCTTAATAAAATGAACAGTGAGGCAAAACTTCACTTTTAATCAGGAACTTGTCACTTCACTCCATTTTTATTATCATTGTAGCCCTTTGTACGCTGAGAATCTTTGATGGTTTATCACTGATGTTTTGTCTTTGCAGTCAACAAGTGTTTAGAGAAGAAGGTGTCTGGAGCGGAAGAGCTTAAAGCACGGCTTGAAGCAGAACTTAAAGAGAAGATCAAGAAACTGGAAAAGGAGCTAGAAAATGCTACAATGAAGGCTGCAGGCAAACACTGCTGTAAGAACATACACACTTGTTTGTCCTGCTAAAGAGTTGTATCATAGTCAGTCCTACTACTCGTGTTATTTTCTGCTGCAGGTGTTCCCTCTCTGACAGAAGACCAGTTGGACTCCATGTGTCCATCAGCGGCTGCTATCGCTGCGATTGTCAAGCCAGGCATGAAGTTCTTTGATGTGAGTTTAGCTGCAGACATTAATAAATCATTATATTTGTTGCACTCTTCATTTTAAAATGACCAAAAAGTAACTTTTTACTGCAAGAGTTATTCTTGATTATTCTAGATTCTAGTTTTTCTGTCCTTTAAGAACGTAGCTTCTGTATTTTGTTAGTTTTGGAACTTGGTTGGTGCATTTGTTTTTATCTGCAGAGTTTTACTTTCATAAGTCAGTACAAGGACCCAAACTAGATCTAAAGATTACCCGTAATTCTTGTGCTACAGAACGCACCCGTCTTTAAGCCGCATATGTTAAATATAAGATAAATCATAATTTTGTACATGAATAAGACGCTCCGGTTATTAAGGTGTGGGCATCCACCGTTCATTATCAGGATGTGTGCCCTCTTCCTGCTCCGGCTGTGTGCAGCTTTCTTGTTGTTGCACAAGAATCAACCTCTTGATGGCGGTTCACAGCCGTTGCTTGCATTCAACACAGGTTCAGACTTTATGATCGTCACATGTTTCTCTGTCTGACTCGTGGTACAACCATTAAACCTATAAAATGAACAATAACTGTCTAAGCATAGTCACTGGACAGAACAGTGCCAAACACCTACATAACTGAAATTATTTAAAAATTATTCACCTGTGAATATTACCCAGAAGTCTTATAGAGGTCATGTGACGGGAAGTCAAGTAGTACCGGTAAAATACGGTAAATATTCATTAAATTAGTATTTTTATTGTTAAACATTATTTGTAACAACTGCTGTTTTTAAATGTACTTTCTAAATAAATTTGATGTGATTCTGCTCAGCAGAGCTCGTGAGGAGGAGGGAGGACGGGGGAAGAGCCTCCCTCTCTTTCCTGTTGTCTCCTCTGCACACAGTGGAGCTTAAATGACATATTGGTATTTAAACACATTTTTACCGTACACAGAAAGATTTTTTAAAACTTTTGTTTAAAACTGTATCAGTCTTGACTGACTGCTTTAAAAATAAGTCTGACTTCACTTCTCCACCAGTCACCACTCACTGAGCGCTCATGATGTAAAGGGGAGGAGGAGAACCCCTCGTCCTGTTGTCTCCGTGTCCGGATGTTTGTTTAAAATGAGATCCCGGTATTTAAATGCATATTTATTGACACAGAAAGAATTTTAAAACTTTCATTAAAACATGTACCAGACTCGACAGCTTTACATCTTCCATGCCCGACCATCGACACGTTGATGCAGCTTACGGGCGGCAGCTCTGTTTCCTCCTTTTCAACCAATCGCTTTTAAGATGAACGCTGCGTCATAAGAAATTATCTGTGCTTTTTCCATTATCGCTGAACAAATGAACAGGTCTGTGCATGAAGCGCAAAATACGGTAACGACACGGGAACGATCTGAATGCACGTCTATGTCGGGGGATGGTCTTAAAGTCCTCGTTGGGCCTAGGACCTCATTGGTCATTCAGGTTTGACTTCTGGTCACCTGATGACAGAGTGGGTGGAGTTATATGGTTGGGAATTTGAAACTGTGAGCAAAAGACCATGTACATCTGATTATTACCTGAGGACATTCTCTCTGTCACAAACGCCTGCCCCCATCAGGGGCGGGGTGCTGGGAGCCACGAGCGCTCAACTCTGTCAAAGGAAAATATTAGTCAGTGGCAGGAAGTTACTGAGAGACGGCAGGAAGTCTTTCAAAATAAAATATAAAAATTTAGTTTTTGAAAATTATATAATAAAACATAAGATGTTCCTGCATATAAACTGTGGGGTACAAAGTGTGAGAAAAAGTAGCGGCTTGTCCAACGGCAATTATGGTACTTTAATGTACTTCCGTTATTTGTGTTTTAAAAATGTTTTTCCTCTTTCTGCCCTTGTGTTTAGATGTATAATGCATACGCCGAGTGTCAGACACAACTGCAACTTGAGAAGCAGGAGACCAGGAGGGTAAGCAAAGTCCTGGATGAGATTGTTCATGAGGTGGAGTCCAAAGCACCTGTTCTGAAGCGCCAAAGAGAGGAGTATGAGAGCATGCAGAGGTCCATGGCATCCTTGTGCAATAAACTGGAACAAGCTCGAGCGGTGGGTTGTTTTCTTGTTAAAATGATGAACTGTGGTTATTGACATGTAAATAATTCATGCTGTTTACTATTTTGCCATCAGGAGATCTACAGTTTGCAGAAGGAGAAGGATGAGGTCAAGCAGCGCTGTGACGTCATAGAGAGGGACAAACTAAGAACTGAGAGACTGCTAGATGATACATCTGATCAGGTATAATAACTTATTCTAGTATCCGTAAAACAAATGCACAGCTATGATCCAGATGCTTTCACTCATTACATTCTCCCTGGTTCAGCTGTGCTCTGTTCTGGTTGAGCTGGAGACAGTCAGAGGTAATCAGGTGCCCAAGGACAACGGCAACTCTGCCGACATTTCCAGCACGTCTGAGGTGAGCTCAAGCCAGGTGTCGTTCCGCAGTGTGTCGGACCTCCAGAGGCAGAACCAAACTCTGTTAGGAAGGCTAAGGGAGCTGGAGGAGGAGAAGGACAGAGAGCAGACATCTGTAACATCAGCACGGTAATTAAAAAAGCTTTCACTGTGTTTTATTTGCCCTGTTGCTGGAACAACAAGCTGTAAAGACTCGTAATAATAATACTCGTAAATAATATGTATTCGGAGCTGTGATGCTATATTTTTATATCAAAGTTTTTACTGATGCCACTCGGTTACTGCAGAACAGAAGGCATTTTATCAAGTTATTTTCCAGGGCAAGGAGAAAAAAATCAAACGTTAATGTTGCAAACAGTATATTAAGCTACGTTCGATCTGTTCAAAGCTCAGAGCGGCTGGTGACTTGTGCTCGATGTGGGTTCTTTAAAGCCTCCATTGTTAAAACAACTACACAACCACACACTTGTTGCTACTTTTGTGCTAAACATGCTGTCTTAGTGCAACGACAAAGTCAAATTTACTTAATCTGCTAATTTAATTTGTGTGTGCTACTAAAATCAGTTTAATTCTGTTTAAATTAGGGCTGTCAATTAAAAACTTAATCAGATTAATCACACTCTGGGGCTGTGATTAATCAGATTACTCACTATGCTTAACTTTGTAAGCTTGAAATGTAAGTATGCAGATTTTCATAAAATATTGAAGAAAATTTTTTATTGTCTCAAACCAGTTTCCCAGGTTTTCATACCCAGCAAGTTTACATAAGTCATTTTGTTTCAGAATCAGAACAAGCTAAAGCTTTATTATCACTGCATCGAGATACGAGAACATGTACGTACAATCGTCCTAAAGATAGACGGAGTGCACAAAGGTGCTGCTAATCCGTACGACCCTTTTATTCTTATTCAGAATAATATTTTTGCTTAGATGAGAAGAAAACATGAGGAGAGAACATAAGGAGAGACAGTATTAAAAAAAAAAGATCTCTCACACCTTGTCCTAGGCAAGGCACAATTTGAGGCATCAAAAAAACGTACCACAGCAAAGCAACATAAATACTGTAGACATGATGCTGTAGATGAACAGATGCTGAGATATATTCATCAATTAAAACGGATTCTTCATCTTTCTGGACTGAATAAAACGTGCATTGAATTTAATGAAATGTAAACGTGAGACGTCATTTATCTTTGACCCATCAAAATGAATGCGGTCATTTATTTTACAGAATCAAAGTTTAACATCAAACATTTACATTAATTTGGCAAAATATGAAAATAACAACATAATCGATCAACTTTACAACCAGGAAAACCATATGGCCATGATTTTCCGTTGCTTCACCACAGATATTTATGAAAACTGTACAATTATGATCAATTATCCACACGGCGGTGGATGAGCACTTTACACAGACATTTCTAAATTATCTGGAAGGATTTCTACTTGAGAGAAGAATTTAAAGATGGAAATGAAGTTTAAAGGGAGTAAAAGATGGTGTGTGAGGGGGAGTGTTGACCAGAACCGACACTCTCCATTCGAGCCCAGCTTTTCCTCGGTACGCTTGGTAGGAAACTTGACTCATTACCTTTCTGAAGATAAATCAGCAGATATGGAGGTCCAGTTAACGCTACCTGTCCAGCGTCTCCATAGGATGGCTGTGACTCGTCCGAAGTAGTGACGAGATTCCGTCCGACACAAGCTCACCTCAGCAAGTGGACTTCACATGAGTGGAGTCCTTCAGAAGTTCCACTCAGAGGTGGAAGATGTTATAATCCAACTCGAAGAGCCTTATCATGGCTGGACTTCTGTTCTCCCAAACGACTTCACAGAACTGCGAACATCTCAGAACTTCTCCGCGCCGCCGAACTGAGAGAACTAGGAAGTACCGGCATTTTAAAGAGCTCTATTTCCGGTATATTTGAGCGTCCCTGATTGGGTAATATCAACCAGACAGGGGTGTGTTTTGTGATGTAAGAGGTTACTAGAAGTCAGAAAACAGCAAGAATTGTTATGGAACAGATTAAAACTGTTCTCAGAGACAGAGAGAGTTTTGTTTTGGCGAGTTGGAGAAACAGGTGCCAACTTCTCTGTTGACGTCTGAGAGGATGTAAAAACAAGGCAGTTGTTCCAACACATGTCTGCTTCGACTCCTGACCTTGGAAAACGCACACTGGCTCATTCAAAGACAGAAATCAGAAAATGCATAATTACTCTGTAACAGGCCTTAACATGAATTCTAACTTTGCATAAGCATTAAAAAATCATTACACTGTTTCACAGTTAATAAAATTGATTAGTTCACTGCAACATCTAAAATGTTTGAACTAAAACACTTTGATTATCAAACATTCGTAAAACAGGAATGATAATAGAAAAGAGAGTGTTCTTTCACTTGATTTTCAAGAAAGAAAGTCTCAGGATGGGTGAACCTGTATTTCTGGATTCAAATCAATGAAATGACAGTTTCTGTCCCACAAGGTTCTTAAGGTCAAGGGTTTTGACCTTAGGCTTAGTTTTGACATCAGGTTAAGTTCACTACAATGCATATAGTTTCAAACATTAATTTATAAATGTTAACTCAAATGTCTCATTAAGTGTCATCTTTATGATCAAAACATGTAAAGAGCAATGCTCCCTCTAATTTTTCATGTGTCTGGGCAAACACACAAGCTCCCTGAGCATCTGAGCGTCCTCTGTCCTCACTCCAACTCCTCCATGTCCTCTCTAACTGCATCCATATATCTCCTCTTTGTCTTTTTCCTGGCAGCTGCATCTCTAATGTCCTTCTACCAGTATACCCACTGTCCCTCCTCTGGACATGTCCAGACCATCTCAGTCTGGTCTCTCTAACTTTATCTCCCAGTTGTTCAACCTGTGCTGTACCTCTAATGATCTCATTCCTAATCTTATCCATCCTTGTCACTCCTAAGGAGAACCTCAACATCTTCATTTCTACCACTTCCAGTTCTGTCTCCTGTCTTTTTGTCCATGTCTCTGTCTCCAGACCATATAACATAGCTGGTCTCACCACTGTCTTGTAAATGTTTCCTTTGACCATCCAGATGACCACCGAGCACTACTGTTTGCTAACACTTAGCATGATAAAAACGGCTACAAGTTGTGGGATTAACTTACTTACCGTCTTTGTTTGATGTCGTATGACCGTAAACTGCGGTGGTAAGTCCACAACGTCATTCCTCCATCACAAACATCATTCCTCAGTATGTGATGGAGTATGCAGTATAAAGCTTGGAAAAGCGCTAGAAGACAAGGTTGTTTGTAGCTACTTAGCTTCTTCGGACGTAGTGCCGAAACTTCAGAAGACGCTGATTGGCTGGAATGAAAGTTCTGTGATTACATTGGTTGAATTTTTTTACCTCTTCGTAAACTTCTGTTGTCGCTACACAAATCACGTGACACAGGTCTGTTTTGACCCGGGGTGTGGGGGGGGGGGGGTGTTCTTCCTCCACTCTGAACACATTTCAGACAGGTTGTAGAAACCGCTGCGCTCTTCTTGTGCAGAGAATGTGCGAGCAGTGCGTGATTGTGCAGGCGTGTAGAAGGAACATTGGAAATAGTATAGTAATGGATTAATCTGCATTATGTAATCTTAACGAATTACTCTTTTTAGATTAATCGCATGCATTAACGTGTTAACGTTAACAGCCCTAGTTTAAGTTGATCAAAGTTTAAGGGTACTTGTAAATTACCGTGCTCCAACTGTTTTTCTAAAATCAAAATCATTTTTCCTGCTCTGTATTTTAGGCTATATCTACAAATCATACACAACATTTTAAAGTTACAGATTTTTTTTAAAGTAATTACCCAGTATGTTTTTGACTAAATTGAACTCTTTATTTTTCACTAAAATGTATTTAATTTGAGGTTTAGTTTTTAAAGCATCTTGAAATGTCTACATCCACTGTAAACGTTAAGATGGATAGATAGAAGTACTTTAATAATCCCCGCTTGAATTTTTTTGTATTCAGCAACAAACATATTGTATTTTTTAAATAATTATTTTAGTAATTATTATTTTATAATGTATATCAAAATTATAAAAAAAAGAATGATTTTTTTTTTGTCTGGTTTGTTCCAGCATAAAGGAGCTGGAGTCTCTTGTGGATAAACTTCAGCAGGAGTGTGAGCAGCTGAAGGAGCAGAGAAATCAGCAGAAGCAGCTGGCAGACTCCAACGCCAGGCAGAGAGACATGTTCAAGGTGCTGCTGACTCAGAGCACAGGCTTCAGTCTTCCCCCTCAAGGTGAATAAAAGCTATTAAATGAAGGATCTTTCTAGTAAACTTGGATGAGATCAAATTAATTTGTTTGTCTGCAGGTCCAGGCTCTGCTTCTCACCCTGCACCTGACCGTCCGTCGGCCCCAGCCACTCGCTCCACTCCTCAGAGAGCCACTGCTGCAGAGTCAGCTCAGACTGCTCAGACAAAAGCTGCTTTGAAACAGGTAGTCCAAGCAGACGTACATGATTTATCTCTCAGCGTTCACATATACTTCTGTAAATGTGCAGTGAAAATCAAAGTTCTGTGGCTGTTCTGAAACGGAGGTGAATTTGTGCATTTTCAGCTTAATGATGCCTTCACTCTGTATAAGAAAGAGAAGGCAGAGAACGACAGAATGCTGAACGAAACGATCGACCGGCTGCAGAGGCAGCTGACCGAGCTGCGCTCCAGCCGTGCCAAGCTATCCTCTCAGCTGGAGTTCAGCAATAAGAGGTGTGTTAAAAGTAAAAAAGCATCAGTGTTATGAACTTTCTTTATCTTCATTGTTTAACCTTTTTATCAGCTGCTATGAGATGTCTTGTTTTTCCTGTTTCTGTCAGATACGAGATTCTTCAAGAGACTGTGTTGGCGTACCGCAGAGAGATTTTGGCCCTGCAAGAGAGGAACCAAAAAATGGCTGCAACAGCTCAGAGACATGAGCACATCATCCACACTATGAGCCAGGACCTGAGGCAGACTAATGAGAAGCTGGCTCTGGAAGAGGTGAGGAGGATTATTGTGGATAAGAACAATTTGAAAATTAAAACAACAGAGAGCACACTGTGGGAATGGACTTTAAACAGTTTAAGGTTCCTAATATTTTGCAATAGTTAATTTCAGCAGTAAATGTATATATTTATACTTATAGTACAACTTCCTGTAAATTGTAATATATGTAGTTGTATTTTTGCTAAGCACGTCTGGATGGATGCAAACTGCATTTCGTTGCTTTGTACTTGTGACATGTGCAATGACAATAAAGTTGAATTCTATTCTGTTCTAAATAGGTTTATAAAATAACATTTGCATGAACTTATGACATATTCAAAGTTGAGACTGTTGTCAGGCAGCAGTTCTGCTCAGATGAGCCTTAAACTCAATCTCTCCAAACTGAGGTCATTCAAAGAACGATCTACATCAGGTAAGACATTAGTTGTTCATAGCTTTTTCACAGAGCTCTACGTCAAAAGAGCTGAAATGTTGCTTTAAAGGACAAAGATTGTAAACAGCAAACTTTAAAATTAAACACGCAAGTGAATACTTTTCTTTAAGGTAGTTTTTATTAAACAAAATAAATGCAATTGATTTAACTGATACATAGTATACAATGTCTTTGTCCTTGGAGTTGAAGATGCCATCATACACCTGCTTCAGCAAACTCACTGTCATGTAGAAAAGGCAGACAGCACTGTGAGAGTCATGTTCTTTGATTTCTCCAGTGCATTTAACACAATCCAGCCTGGTCTGCTTTGTCAGAAACTCCAGAAGACTCAGGTGGAGGCCTCAACAATCACCTGGATCAAAGACTACCTGACAAACAGACCACAGTTTGTGAGACTGAAGGGTTGTGTGTCTAACCAGGTGGTCAGTAGCTCAGGAGCACCACAGGGGACTGTACTCTCACCATTCCTTTTCACTCTGTACACCTCAGATTTCCAGTACAAAACAGACTCATGTCATCTGCAGAAATATTCTGATGACTCTGCAGTGGTCGGGTGTATCAGAGATGGACAAGAAGCTGAGTGCAGGGAACTGGTGGACTGCTTTGTGGCCTGGTGTGGAAACAATCATCTCATCTTGAACGTGAACAAAACAAAGGAGATGATTGTAGATTTCAGTAGAAACAGGAACAGGTCCAACCCTATTTCCATCATGGGAGAAGAAGTGGAGGTGGTGGAGAAGTATAAATACCTTGGGGTTCACCTGGACAACAGACTGGACTGAAGATGCAACAGTGAAGTTGTCTACAAGAAGGGACAGAGCAGACTGTACTTCTTGAGGAAGCTGAAGTCCTTCAGTGTTTGCAGCAAGATGCTGCATATCTTCTATAAGTCTGTTGTAGAGAGCGCCATCTCTTCTGCCATCATCTGCTGGGGGAGCAGCACCAGAGCAGGTGACTTAAAAAAGATCAACAAGCTCATAAAGAAGGCTGGCTCAGTTCTGGGGACTCCTCTAGAACCTTTGGAGATGATTGTTCAAAGAAGGATTCTTCATAAAAGGAAGAACATTATAGACAACCCTCAGCATCCTCTTCATCAGACTGTCATACAACAACAGAGTCTTCAGTCAGAGGCTTCTTCAGATCTGCTGCAACAAGAGATCCTTCCTGCCCACATCCATCAGCATCTAGAACAACTCTTTAATGAAACCAGGATGATGAGTTACAACAACATTTAATTTCCCTCTGGGATTAATAAAGTATTTTTGAAATGAATTGAATATCCATCCATTCATCCATTTATCTTTACCCGCTTCTTCCTTTTCGGGTCTTGGGGGGTCTCTGGTGCCCATATACAGCCATCACGGTGTAAAAGGTGGGGGGGGGGACACCCTGGACAGGTCTGCAGTCCATCACCGGGACACACAGGGACAGTCCATCGCAGGGACAACAAGAACAACAACCATTCACTCTCTCACTCACACCTAGAGACAATTTAGAGTTACCAATCAGCCTAACATGCATGTTTTTGGACTGTGGGAGGAAACCGGAGCACCCGGAGAAAACCCACGCATGCACGGAGAGAACATGCAAACTCCACCCAGAAAGGCCCTGGGCCAGAATTTGAACCAGCAACCTTCTTGCTGAGAGGCAGCAGCTATACCAACAATATGTTTCTACAAATTTGTGCTTTGTTTCCAATTTTAAACTATTGTTAACATCTGCAATATCACACTTCGTTAAACGATATGTCATGTTTGTCTGTTTACCCTAAAACCACTGACATTTATGTTCAAGTTACCTGTTGATGTGGTTGGTCGACTCTGCAGGGGATAATTTTACAATGATTTCCAATCATAAGCTTGATTTATGAACAAATTGTCTACGTAATAATATGTTCCAGTTAATAAAAAACAATCACATGCTTTATTGTTTTCTTTTCTACTCCTCATTTTATAATTTTCTTCTTTTTGTCCGTAGGTGCGTGTCGAGAACCTGACTAAAGAGAGAGACATGTTAAGACGGGCAGAGTCTCGTTTAAGTCAAGAAAGGGAGGCCGTGCTGATTGAGCAACATAACCAGAGCCTGCTGCTAACTAACCTCAAGACCATACAGGTATCATATGAACTCTCAGCACCAATAAATTCAGGAATGTTCATTTGCACATGATCAGTAGTTTCATCTTTAGGAAGTGTTATTAAAAGCTTACTGGTGGAGTGTTGTCTGTCCGTGTGTGCTGCAAAGGGATTCAGGAACAATAATGTTGGGAATAAAATTGGTGGTAAATATATTTTTCTGTGGAAAGAGGATGCTGATGAATCTGAATATAATGGATGATCTTTATATACCTTGAATTTTTAACCATGGTACCATGTCTAGATTAGTGCTAAAGCCAACTGCTAAAGTTTTACTAAAACTCAAGTTTTACAGCTAAAACATTTCACGATTTTTTGCTTTTTTTTAATTCTGGTGAAATATTGAGTTGCTGAAATCAGGGATTAATTTTAACTGTATCAATCTTTCCATTTATTGAAACATTATTAGTCAAGCTATACCCAATGTAAATAGTTGTATATTTAAAATTAATTTCTAGTTTAGCATTTTTATTGTTTGCATTTTAGTTTCAGAACAAGCTTTATTATCATTGCACCGAGATACAACGAGAACGTGTACGTACAGCCATCTGAAAGATGGACGGAGTGCACGAAGCTGCTGCTATAAATCGCGGCCTTCTTATTCTTTTCAGTATACATTGTTTTTTAGATAGAAAATGGACAAAGCCATGAGGAGGGTAGTGGCATTACAAAAAAGATCTCTTCACACCTTGTCCTATCAGGACAAGATTTAAGACATTAAAAAACTCTGCCGGTTAAAGCACATTTATGAACACGTACATATGCATTTACAAACGAGGCGGTCCATGAAGCCCTAGATAGTCCATTGTCCTGACAAGATGATGGTCAGATGGCACAGTTCTGATAAGACTCCACAGGGGAGTGGGGGGTGTGATAGACAAAGATTTTCCTTAGTTTACACATTTCCCAGGAGAAATTGATAAGTCGGCCTGTTCCGAGGCCAGCTGGGGAGAAGTTCAGATAATCCACAATTGTTGGTTTATTCAGGCAGACTATTTTCCATCAGCCTTGAGTCTGTACTGATACTTTCCAAGGTCTGAAACGGCCAGCTTAGGGTTCATTCTGCTGGCCCGTGCTTACGAGCCTCTTCAAGATGGTGTTTTCATGCTGATGGGTCCCAAAGCTGCAGGTGGCCTGTGATTCAAATCACTTCCGACTTAGTTTCACTCGTAAATCAGCTGATTTTGAGTCCTCCAGCATGAACCAGACCTTCATAGACAGCAGCTTGTCCAGGTCCAAATGAGCTGCAATCGTCTTCTTTGTATGTTGATAAACCAGGATCCAGACTATTCCAAACAGGAAACCTGTTATAAATCCAATGATCGGCAATTTCAGCGTCCTCGGTCGATATCAGAGGTAGACACATCACCCCCAGAGATATATCCAGCTGCACGTCTCCTCCGAGCAGATGAGGGTTCTCCAGGACCTTGTGGCTTTGTTGAAAAGAATTTGTAATATACGTCGAAAGTCCAGTTGGTCAGATCCAAAACAGTAGTTTTCATTTCAGGAGATGTGTAAAAAAATTAGGAGCTGCTCCGATACACAGACAGAGAGCAAAAAGCAGGAGGAGAACAGGGAGTGGGAAGGAATGCATGCGCCTCATTACAGAGCCAGTGAAGAAAAAAAATACATTTATTTTTGTCATAATTGTCCAGTTGACTATGGAGCGTACAGAAACTGAGACTCGTCAGCGACTTAACAGCAAAGTAGAACAACTGGAGACAGAACTGACATCGATGAAGACCAGACTGGAACGGGAAACTGCTCAGAGACATGCCCTTGGACGCACTATGGATGTATGTAAATAATTTGCATCTTCTTTGAGATTACGTGTTCTTTGACATATCATAGGTAAATTTGAGCACATCTACAATATTCTCTCCCGTTAACACTCTGACCCTTCCTCTGCCTCCTTGTCTTCCTCTGTAGGCACAGTTGTTAGAAGCAAAGAAGCAGCTGGAGACCCAGAACACCCTGCTGCAGAAGACCAGGGAGCTGCTGCGCAGCTCTGAACAGCAGGTGGCTGCGCTGAAAACTCAGCCCACGTCTGCTTCCTCTTCTGAGGCTGCTGCTGCCTCCACGACCACCCCAGCCACCAGAGCTGCTGCCCTCCGAGCACCACTGAGGGGTAAAAACGCATCTGATGACAAAACAATTCAACATAAATAACCTTTGGTAGAGGAAGTTGTCAAAGTTTGCTTGTAATTTGGTAGTATTTGCTTTCTATTTTATAACTGCTTCTCTTTTCTCTCATAGTACGCTCTCCAGTTCCAGCAGCACCTCAGCAACTCAGCCAGTCAGAGCAGGAGCTCTCGGAGATGAAAGGTCTCCTACAAAGTGCTGAGGAACAAAACTCTGAACTCACGGAGCAGCTGAAGAATGCCAATGCCACCGTTGAACAGTATCGATCTGTGGTTCTGACTCTGGAAGACAGTCTTAAGAAAGAGAAAGAGGTATTCCTCGTGAATTTATAAACGGCACCCTTTTTTGTTCTTTGCTCCCAAAACGTGACTGTTTGCCCACATGCATGCTTAAGCCCCTTTTTTCTTTTTTTTTAGTTACGTTCTCCTCTAGAGGTCAGACTGAAGGAGTCAGAGGAGGTGCAGAAGCAGCTGGAAAAAAGGATTTTAGAGCTGGAGAAGATGAAGCAGCAGGAACAAGAGGAGAGAAGGAAGGCTGTGGATGCAGTGGAGAAACGAGTAAGATCATTCTTAAAGGCTGCAAAACAAATAATTTGAGCGGCCTTCTGATAAATTTTCCACTTCAAGCAGAAACCAGTAGAATCAGTACTAAACTGGTTTGACATTAATTCTCTTCAAACAAGTTTTGGCCCTAAAAACCTGTAGTTCAGTTTTTAGTTTGCGGTGTGAATGTCCGCAATTTTGTAAAGCTTTCAAATACTATTGATTAAATATGTCTGACATTATTTACGTCAGATACTTTTATGAAAATATTGATTGTTCAGATAAAATTACTAAACAGCAATAAATAAATTATTTAAATTATATTACACTCATGAAGTTATAAAAATGTTATGTTAGGGTTAGCTTGTTGGTTGATTTCTAGGAAATTATGTTGAATATTTAACCTTATTTAATTGGGGGAGTGGTGGTGCAGAGGTTAGAGAAGGCGAGCATGTGATCAGAAGGTCGCCGGTTCAACTCCTCGGACCAATAACATCTAATTGTGGGTGGGAAAGGTGAGACACCCACATCCCCCTCCACCCTCACTTGCCCCATTCTGGGCCCTTGAGCAAGGCCCTTAACCCCCACCATCTGCTCCCCTGGGTGCCCTAGATGGCAGCTCTCTGCTCCACACAGAGGCTGTGGTAGCTCGGTGTCTGTGCTTATGTCAGGAAGGACATCTGGCGTAAAAACAATTGCAAAGTCTTTGTGCGAGTTAGTTCACCATGGCAACCTCTGAAGAAGAGAGCAGCCGAAAGAAGAAAGAAGATTTAATGTAACATGTTATTGAGTGTGAGTTATTTCTTGAAAAATGCCATTTTGCACCTGTACAGGTACAGTAAAACAGCAGAGAACCTTAGATTTTTCTAAACAATAATGGATTAAAATGAGTTTATGTATTTGTCCCTTTTGTGTTGAGGTGTGTGAGCTGCAGCGGAGTCTGAAGGCCAGCCAGGCAGAGCAGCAAGAGGCACTGGAGAGGTGTACTGCTGCTGTCACACAGGAGCAACAGGCCATACAGGACAGACACATTCAGGTTCATTTACTGACACACACACTCTCACCAGTCATTCTTAAGTTCAGCTTATACGTCCAGAACATGACACTTTACTTAACCTCTCTATTTTCCTGACAGGCTAAGCTAGCTGGAGAGGCACAGTCTAAGTACGAGCGTGAGTTGATGCTTCATGCCGCTGATGTGGAGGCTCTGCAGCAGCTGAAGAAAACATCCCAGCAAGAAGCTGCACGCAAGACGGAGATAGAGGAAGAACTGAAAAAGACTGCTGCTCTTCTGCAGGAGAAAACCACAATCTGGAACACAATGGAGAAACAGCTGAAGGTATTGAGGCCAGCCATTTATTTGCAAAACATTTTTTTTACATTTAGCAAAACCACAAGCCTGACTTTACCCGTCCTTAGGAGGAAAAGTCTAGTCTGAGCCGTCGTTGTGAAGAGCTGGGGAAGCAGAATGCTCTCCTGCACCAACAGATGGATGAAATGGCCACCAAGAGTCGCCAGCTGCATCAACACCCGCAGCAGAATCTGGACCTGTCGTTCAGTGAGGAGGGAAAGACCACTGAACAGATACTGGAAATACTCAGGTGAAGCCCCGATAATACCAGGTTTCACTTTGTGTGTGCAGTAAAACAACAGCTGGACAAAATGTTTTGTTTTAACAATAAAATTGCTACTAAGATAAATAAATCAATCATTTGATTGAACGGCATAGCAGTCTGCTACTCTGACTGGTGTTTGCGATATAGGTTTGTACGACGAGAGAAGGAGATTGCCGAAGCTCATTATGAGGCGTCTGAAGGAGAGACTCAACGCTACAAACAGCGAGTCGAACACCAAAACAGAGAGCTGAAGGAGCTCCAAGAAGCACTGAATGCTGAGAGGGAAAAGATGCAAGTAAGAGGCTGAAAATCAAAATGTAGTGTTTCAGCTTGCATAAAGCAGAATGTTGTTGATTAAAATTGGTCTGACTGGCCTTGTCCTCATCAGGTGACAACAAAGACTTTGGCTGAGCAGCAAGAACAGCTGAAGAGGTTGGAGACAATCACTTCTCTGCAAGAAACCAATAAGATGCTGAAAGTGGACAGGGATAAACTGGGACAGGAGCTTCAGCAGGCTCAGGCTAAAGTAAAGTCAAGGCGTTGCTTCATACTGTCTCGTACTTTCATCGTATTTCACTCATAATGAAGCCTTTATGTTGCCTTCATAGATGCTCATTTATGCTTTGTGTGTCCTATCAAGTGTGAACATCCTTCTTCTCTCTGTCTCTGTAAGGTGAAGAAGCTCCAATCAGATATCAACCCACTGCACAACTCTCTGTCTGTACTGTCAGAGAAGAATGGCTCCCTGCAGGCTGATAAGAGGCTGCTGGAAGAAGACCTCAAACGACTTAAGGCCAGAGTACAAGTATGTAGGAGAAACACTGTTAGTACTAGATTATCAGAAAAACATCGGACAGTGACACCTTTTTTCTGTTTTTAAAATTTAAAACATCAAAAAACATTCAAATAATTGTAAATCTGTTCAAAAGCTATCCAAAATGTGGCCAAATTAATTGGAAAGTGCCTCACACTGCTGGTAGATAGTATTTTGCAACAGCTGAAATAAATTATACAAGTTCTAAATTTATTAGCATCTTTATGCATCTCCCATTTTTTAAAGTATATATTTTAACTGGTTTTGTTAGTCAAAGTGACATTTTTTTGGTACATTGTGTTTATTACAACTTTATCTCGGATGCTTTTATTTTTGAGATTGGCTTAGTTTTTTATGTTTGTGCCTCCACAGCAACTTGTTAGCCAGCAGAAAGATGGGGATCTTGAGGAAAAGCAGAAACTCACAGCTGAAAGAGAGACTCAGCTAAAGCGCATAGCACAGCTAGCTGAAGAAACGGGCAAGCTGAAGACTGAGCTGGCCAGGTAAAACATACACAGTCAAGTGTTATACTCACAGTACAGTAGGAGTATAAATAGTATAAATATGTTCTAGTCTCCTTTCTGTGCTTTTACATACCAGACTAATAATTTATATATCTGACTGCAGCAGACGCGCCGGTTGATTTGTACTCAGTAGTTTGCGTGTTGTGTGTGAATCAGATCCAACGCCAGCAGTAATTCAGCTCAGTCCCAAATGCAAGGCCTAAGAGAGTCTGTGACTCGCTTAACGTCAGAAAGAGACACCCTTAAAAAAGACGTGGAGGTGAAAAATAATGACATTCTGGAGAAGAACAAGACCATCACTCAGGTGAAAAAGATTGGACGCCGCTACAAGACTCAGTATGAGGAGCTGAAAGCCCAGCACGACAAGGTGCGACTTCACTTCTGGAAACAGTTTGAACCTGTATTTATTGAATTAAAACTGCCGTGAGTAAAATTTCATTTCTGTGCATCCCAGCTGGTCAGTGAAACGGCTTCTAAAGCAGGAAGTGAGGCAGTGCCGAACCAGGAAGCACAGCAGGAGCTGAACAAAGTCCAAGAGGAACTTGAAAAGACTCGAGAGGAGCTGAACACCTTGAAAGAAGAAGCACAAAAAAAACAGGAAGAGGTGAGCATGACGGAGCCAGACAACTATTTCAACAACTTATCTTAGTGTTTTGCTGTACTGTAGACCCTCGATTGTCACAGGGGTTATTTTCCACACATCCCTGCCATGGTGAAAGACCGCGAAGTAGGAACGCCATATTTATTTTAGTATTTATATGTAGAGGTTTTATAAACCTTTCCCACCCTCTTGCAATGTTCTAAACTCTTAAACCTACAAAATTTTAACAACAAACATATATGTACTGTACAGTACTGCAAAATTTTATATAGATACTCGCCAGCCTTGGTCCAGTTCTGGTCGGGTTCTGATCAGCTCTCTGCAGCCATTGAGCACCAAGATGCTTTTAGAGAGAGCCGGACCTTCAGAGAGCCAGCACAAAACCACACAGTGGTCCAGATCAAGTCCAAATAATCCAGAGGAATCCGGATGAAAAAGTCCGGGTGAGCTCCGGAGAAAATGCCGGACCTCCAAGCAACGCCTCCCCGCTTGAGAGGCTCCCTGTGCCGGCAAGCAGCACTCAGATTGACCAATGAGGAACCGGTTCCAATCGTGAATTTTGGGTTTTCCCCCCGAGGTCAGCCTGTTAGTTTAGCTGCTTTTAATGATCCAAAAACACAATTTTGGACAATTAAAATGGATGTTAAAGAAAACGAGAGGAGTCAGTGAAGAGCACCAGAGAGACAATGTCAATGTCAATTTATTTATATTGCACATAAAAACAACAAAAGCTGACCAAAGTGCTTTCCAGTTAAGACAGATTAAAAATTTAAAAAGAGTAAAAATGCATCTAGTGCCACTCAAAAACATAAGTTGACAGTAAAAACAACACACAACAACAATAAAATCAGCTCAACTTGTTCTCAGACTCTGCGTGGATGAAATGCCAAGGAATACAGATGAGTCTGAGCAAAGATTTAAAAGTCTCAACAGTCTGAGCGGTCTTTAAATGCTCAGGAAAACTGTTCCACAGTTTTGGAGCAGCAACCGCAAAAGCCCGATCACCTCTGGATTTAAGTTTGGATCTGGGGACATCTAAGAGGAACTGAATGGTAGACCGGAGTGCTCTTACTGGAGTGTAGATGTTAATGAGATCACATAACCCTTAGACATGAAGAAACAATAAAGCCGATAAATGAAAATGAGGTTAATAATTTTCATTTATCATGGGATTAATTGATTTATTGTTTATCACGACAGGCCTAAATAAAACTTTTAAAATACAAAATTAACTCGGGTCAAACCATAGAGTCAGATAAAGCCATAAAAAATATAAAAGTGGAAAAACAGACATGCCAAATTGTTGTTTAGAATAAAATTTGAAGTGTGTTTTATGTTTAAAGCAATTTTCTTTTTGCTGAAATACAACGAGCATGTTACTTTTTAAATGATGGAAAAGTTTCAGAGACGTGATTTATTCCACTAGGTTCAGAAGTCCCTGCAGGAGTTGGAAGCAGCCCAGAAGGAAAACCAGCAGACCAAAGAAAAGCTCCAAGAGGTCCAAAACCAGCTGACACAGAACCAGAACCAGCTGACTCAGGTACATCATCATCATTATGTAAAGCAATGTTTGGAGCACGTCTGTGATTCAAGATGAACAGTAGTAAGTTATTACTTTTTCTTGTTCAAGTTATATTCAAATAAACCGTGTTACTGTCTGCCTAAAATAACTTTGTCATAATATTGCATGCAATTTTAGGACTTCTAATAGATTTCAATAGATTTGTTGATACAATTTTTTAGATTTAAGATGCAATATAATATGAAATAAGTATTAATAAGAAATAAGTATTTTTTTTTTTTTTTATCTCTACTGCATCACAAAACAAAGTAATTCACAAAAAAAATCAGGAAAAGATAGTTTTTTGGTAATGATACACACAAAGGGTAGAAGTGTAGGCTAAAGTCTGCACAACTGTATCAATTCAATTCAGTTTATTTATATAGAGCCAAGTCACAACAGAAGTCCTATTATAAATTACATCCATCCATCCATCCATCCATCCATCCATCCATCCATCATCTTGCGCTTGTTCTGAAGTTGGGTTGCGGGGGCAGCAGCTTGAGCGGGGAGGTCCAGACATCTCTTTCCACAGCCACCTCTTCCAGATCTTGTGGGAGGACCCCAAGGTGTTCCCAGGCCAACTGAAAGACATAGTCTCTCTAGCGTGTCCTGGGTCTTCCCCAGGTTCTCCTCCCAGTCGGACATGCCCGAAGCACCTCCCTAGGGAGGCACGCAGGAAGCGTCCTTACCAGATGTCCAAACTGGAGCTGTCATTTCTAACCTGGGCCTGAAGCCTGGCCCTAATTCGGGCCGAGCCATAATAATGTGTCTAATGTGTAGGCCAGGCCAGTCTCAGGCTTTGATGCGTTTTACAAATCATACAGCACAAATAAAACTAAATAAGAATGCACAATATAAAGTTGTGTTGGTCTACTTGTAGAGGAGGAGGCAGTAAGTTTATATGTTGAGAGGATGAAGAAGGAAAGAAGAGTGCAGCAGTTAATAAGACCGTGAAGAGAGTAGCACTGGTGCATTGTGCAATAATTGCACATGTGGGCTTGGGCTTCTATGGTACAGTTTGACGAATCATACAGCACAAAGAAAATAAATAAGAATGCCCCATGTAAACTTGTGTTAATGTATTTGTTGAGGAGGAGGCAGGTCCGACTGGCTGGTTGAAAGAGGTCAAAAAAAGTTGCGTTAAGCTCAGATGGACAGCCTGCACCGTGCCGCATGCATCCGCTGACCTGCTGGTTGAAAGAGGTATAAAAAAAAAAGTCCAGTTAAGCTTTAAATGCATCAGCTGATCACCGGTCGTGCACGTCTCTGAACCTGCTGTCACCTGCGGTGAAGAAAGTAGCAGCATCTACAAAAGCTGAAGTGAGCAGCGTGTTCATTTCAAATAGTCTTGTTCTGTATTTTTCCAAATATTTTTGCTCTAAAAATAGTTTTGTTCATCTGTATAATAGCCGATCTTTAGAGTTGATTTTTTTTTAGGCTATTTGTTTTGTATGTTAATATCCACTTGGTGAAACAAGAAATCTTATATCTTCCTTTCTTTGAAATATGTTTTTAAAACTATCACGTCAAACTGATTTGCTTACAAAAGCAGTAAAAGCTTAAAAAATGTTTTTTTTTTCGAGTTTGGACCTGTAATTACAGTTAATTTGATCGGGTCGGGCTCAGAAAAAATGTCTACGGGCTGGGGCTGGGTTGGGACTGATTTTTTTAGTCCCGAATGCAACTCTAACCTGAACCACCTCAACTGGCTCCTCTCGATGTGGAGGAGCAGCGGTTCTACTCTGAGTCTCCTGATAACTGAACTTCTCACCCTCTCTCTAAGGGAGAGTCCAGCTACTCTGCAGAGAAAACTCATTTCAGCCGCATGTATCCACAATCTCATCATTTCGGTCACGACCCAGAGCTCGTGACCACAGGTGAGGGTAGGAACATAGACCGACTGGTAAACAGAGAGCTTTTCCTTACAGCTCAGCTCCCTCTTCACCACAACGGACCGGTACAGAGTCCACAATACTGCAGATGCTGCAACAATTTGTGTGTCAATCTCACGCTCCATTCTTCCCTCACTCATGAACAAACCCCCGAGATACTTGAGACAGAACCTCACCCTCGACCTCAAGAGAGCAATCCACTCTTTTCCGGTTGAGGACCATGGTCTCAGATTTGAATATTTCCTTTATTTAATGTCTGTCACCCACTTACCAAAATCCTAGACATGATCTGAAGCCTAGTTTTTTGTTATTTATTTATTCATTTTTGCTGATGTGGCTTTAACTAAAAATAAGTCAACAGCATGGTTTTGAAGGAGTGAAGCACCAAGCCGATTTTAGTATCTCTCCTGGAATAACAAAGTTCAGGGACTGCGATCTACTCTTGTGATTTCATAGAAGACTGAGTCAGGTTACAGCCTTTTCTGATGGTTGGTGAGAAAATGTATATGAAAATATTTTATCAGTCTTCCATTTTTTACTGTTGTAGGTCCAGTCTCAGTTGTCTCAGACTCAGACTCAACTGCAGCAGAATCAGAACCAACTGACCCAGAGCCAGAAGGACCTTCAGCAAGCCAAGGGTCACACCCAGCAGGTGAGATTTTATTGCAAACGTTTTTAATTTATTTTGTTTGTTTTATTGTTTTCATAGATGATTGGAAATAGCCTAACTCATTCAAAAACCTAATAATTTTTTTTATTTTATTATTATTTCTGTTTAAAAGGCACAGAACCAGTTAAAATCAGTTCAGTCTCTAGCTCAGAACCGTCAGAACCAGATTCAGCAGGTCCAGAGGGAACTTCAGCAGGCTAAAGAAGCCCTTCAACAGAACCTCGCTAAACAGAAAGAGCTTCAACAAACCAACCAGGCCAGCCAGCAGAGCCTCAGCCAGGAAATAAACAATTTAAAAACGTCTCTAAGCCAAGCTGAAAACAAAGTAAGGAAATATGTTTTTCTTTCATTTACGTCTGTATTTATTTGTTTGTTTGTTTGTTTGTTTGTTTGTTTTGGCATAACTCCATTAGAGCAACAATATTCGTTTTTGTTGTCTAACAGGTGACTGAGCTTCAAGGCAAAGTGGACAGTCTGCAGAAGGTTAGGAGAAAACTATAAACTAATGATGTATTTGTGGTGAAAAACAGACAAAAAGCAAATCTCACTTCATTTAAGAGGTGTATAGATGGAGCTAATCATCGAAGGGGGTTAGGCCTAATTGATGGGCCAAAATAATTTGACTTTTTTTTTAATGTTTTATTTATTTATTTTTATTTGTGTCTTTATTTGCTAAATATTGTTTAATCCTTTGTTAGACGGTTGTTGAGCGTGAAGCAGACATTAAACGTCTCCAGGAGCAGCTAGCTGAAGCAAAACAGGCTTATGAAGCAAACCAAGCAACACAGGCCAGCCAGAGTTCCCAGTCTGCCCAGGCCACTGATGCTAAAGCTGCCACTGATGCTAATCAGGTGCTACAAGATGAACTGACAAAACTCAAACAGGAGGTACCTGATTAAACTCGAGCATGAATGGATATTTAATTTTATTGGCACTTTTTTGTTTTGTGTTATCTAAAAAAATTGAAATCAAAATTTTTTTAAATTTTTTAAAAATTTTTTTTTTTTTTTTTTTTTTTTTTTTTTGCAGCTGTCTGAAAGCAAAAGCAGAGAGGAGCAGCTCAAACAGCAGATGACTGAGAAAGAGGAGAAGACGAAGAAGGCCTTCTTAGGAGCCAAACTTAAAATCAACCAAGTAAACAGTGAGTGAACCTTCCCAACAAAAGACATACTTACACATCCAGAAGAGTCCACTGTGCTTTTTGTTAATTTAGGGTCTGGTGTTAAGTTTTATTTCTTGGATTTTCACCTGTAGGTGCTAAAGAGCAACTCAATAAGGAGAATGAAGAACTGAAACAGAGTAAGGAGGAGATGGAGGTGAGAATGAACGCTCTCAAGTCTCAGTTTGAAGGAAAATGTTTACGACTGGAAAGAGAGCTGAAAGAACTGAGAGAGACACAGGCCCACACTGAACAAAGAGAAGACTCTCCAGACCAGAGCGGAGCAAAGGTACACATCAGACCGATTCTTTAATAAAGACTCAAGTAGAACGCAAACAGGACCAAGTCATCAATATTTAAAAAATTCACAGGAGCAAAGTCAAAGTACCGTATTTTCCAGACTATTGAGTGCACCCTAATATAAGCCACGCCCACTAAATTAAAAACATCTTTATTTTGTAATATATAGGCCTCTTCTTTGAAAGAAGAAGAATGAAAGTCAGCCGTAGTAAGACAGAGTACATGTGTGTAAATGAGAGGGAGGAGGTGGAACAGTGAGGCTACAAGGAGCAGAGGTCACAAAGGTGCAGGACTTCAAGGACTTGGTGTCCACTGTCCAGGAAAATGATGTGTGGTAAAGAGGTGAAGAAGAGAGTCCAGGCAGGATGGAGTGGATGGAGAAAAGTTTCAGCAGTGATTTGTGACAAAAGGGTGTCAGCAAAGGTCAAAGGAAAAGTTTACAAGACAGTGGTGAGACCAGCTATGTTGTATGGTCTGGAGACAGAGACATGGACAAAAAGACAGGAGACACAACTGGAAGTGGCAGAAATGAAGATGTTGAGGTTCTCCTTAGGAGTGACAAGGATGGAGAAGATTTGGAATGAGATCATCAGAAGTACAACACAGGTTGAACAACTGGAGATAAAGTTAGAGAGACCAGACTGATGGTTTGGACATGTCCAGAGAAGAGACAGTGGGTATACTGGTAGAAGGATGTTAGAAATGCAGCTGCCAGGAAGAAGACAAAGAGGAGATATATGGATGCAGTTAGAGAGGACATGGAGGAGTTGGAGTGAGGACAGAGGACGCTCAGATGCTCAGGGAGCTTGTGTGTTTGCCCAGACACATGAAAAATTAGAGGGAGCATTGCTCTTTACATGTTTTGATCATAAAGATGGGGGGGAGAGACAGAGATGCGTCCTAAGCTGCGCAGTGTGCTGTTTAAACCGACAGTTTTAGAGCAGGTGTGTGAGATGAGAGAGACAGCGACATCTCAGCCACAAGCTGTCTGAACTGACAGTTTTTGTTTTTGACGGGGGGGCGTAAAGACAGACACACATCTGAGCCGTGCGCTGTTTGTACCAACATTTTTCGAGTGGTGGGGCTGCGTTCAGCGTGAGGGTTCAACATGAAGGAAGAGGCTGCTTTTAGCTTTTTAGCCAGTGCACCTGCATTGCGAGCTGCTAGTGTAGCATTACGTCAGTGCAGACAGGTGGGTGGGGCTCAGTTGACGGGGCGCTCGGTTCTGTTGATGGGGCGGGGCGCCCTGCTTGTACAATGGTAGGGGAAACACTGCTCATACAGTCATGAGGACCCACCCCCCAAGAGAGACGTGTATTGGGCAGCAATGTGAGCGCCCGGGTGTGACGAGACTAAATGTTTTGGTTGCATGAAACTTGTTAGTCTGTCCAAAAAAATAAAATAAAATCCATAAATTAGCCGCTGCTTGTATATGCCGCGGCGTTCAAAGTGTGTGAAAGAAGTAGTGGCTTATAGTCTGGGAATTATGGTAATCTGAGCAGCAAATTTCCAATTTCCATTGTTTTTACTGAAGTTGCCATTTTATTCACAATATTGCACATAAAAAAATGTAAACTGAGATTTTAATCAAAGGAACCGGTTGCCATCTTACACCTTTTATTCATGTGGAAGAAAATTAATTTTCTTTCTTTGTTTCTGGTCACAACTTTCTCAATTAAAAGTATTTTATTTGATGAACACATTACTATGTTTTGTTTAAAATGACTTGTTTGAAATGAATTCTCCAGTATCTTTTATAGTTGTTCCTCCTTGACTCATTTCTGTCATCCTGTTCCAACAGGTGGGTGATCAGACCAGATCTTCAGACCAGAGACAAATTTCTTTGAAGAGTCCTGCCCAAGAAAGGGGAAGGTACGCTCATGAAATTGGAAAATTTATTACACGTTTCACAGACTTGTTGTTTTTTATTCCAACTGTAACATGTTAACTTTAAAAATGTGTGTTTAGATCCATAACGGCTCAAAGTAAGTTAGTTAGGGTAACTTGGAGCTGTATTAGTCAGAGCAGAACAAAAAGTTTCAAGCGTCACTGTTTTCTCCTCAGCTCCAGCGTTTCTGAGCCTCCCACTGCAAACATTCGACCCACTCAAAGTACTCCGTCTCCTGGTAACAAGCCAAGCCCCTCCACAGGAAGCAAGGCCACTCCTCGTGCCAGCATCAGACCTATGGTTACCCCAGCAACTGTCCCCATAGCAACCCCCACAGCAACAGTGATGCCGACTACACAGACTGAGAGTCAAGAAGGTAAAAGAGAAAGCGTTGAAAATAAGTCAATATAAATACTAGAATCCAATTATCCCTTGAAGATGAGACTGTAAATAACAATCTGCTTACATTTCACTGTGTATGGGTAAATGTTCCAGAGTGAAATATTTTTCTCTCTACAGCTCTGGTGAGTACAGGACCATCTGTACACTCCACCAGCTCCACTCTCGTAAACGCTCCCGCCTCCATAACTCAGCCAACCAGCACTCAGACCACAGCTTTTGTCCAACCTACTCAGCAGCAGGCAGCCAGTCAGGATGCAGGGTCCAGTATGGAGGCAGAGCGGCCCACCACATCCTCCTCCATAACTGGAGCAGGTAAAGACTCAAGACTTTAGCGTTTTCTTTGTCCTTTTCTTTTACCTTTTCTTAGTTCCCTATAGGTTCCTGCCTGTGGTAATCGATGTCCTCGGGTGTTTGTTTGGTTTGACTTAACCAGGTTCAAAGCGAAAGGTTGATGAGGAAGAAGAGGAAAGTAGACCAGAGAGTTCCCACGCACCAACCACTAAAAAACTACGACTAAAGCCAACAATAGCCCTGCAGGTACAAAATAATCCAGATGAAGAAGTAAAAAGTGAACTGAAAACTTTTCATAGTAGTTTCTGTTTGTTTCTGACTCTTCACAGTTCCTGCTCTCAGTATAAATTAAGGCATTTTTACTAACGTAATTTTTTGTGTCATTTGATCTTGTGTAGATGGAGGTTGAAGAGGAGGTAGATGGAGAGCTGAGGGATGTGAGAGAGCAGCTGGATTCACCTGATGGCAGCCAGGTTGGTTATGAAGACAAGGCCCTGGCTAAGAATTAAAAATGCGTCCTCCAGTGTCTACAGTAGATGACAAAGGAAAATATTGCATAAGACTGAAGAATATGATCAGTTTGGAGATTTACAAAATCATCCATCCATCCATCCAGTTTTATATCTGTGGTTCAGTCACAGGGGCAACAGGTCCAGGAGAAATACCCAGACCTTCCTCTCTCCAGTGATGCACTCCAGCTCCTCCTGGGCAAACCCAACGTGTTCCCAGGCCAGAGAGGATGCATGATTCTTCTAAGATCTGGGTCTTCCCAGGGGTCTCGCCTGGTAAACCTCTAAAGGGAGGCATCCTAATCAGATGCTCAAACCACCTCAAGTGTTTTTTTGGTTTTTTTTTTCAGTTTAGTGGAGCACCAGCTCTACTCCTAGCCCACCCCAGATGGCAGAGCTACTCACTATATCCCTAAGGTAGAGCCCAGCCTCAGAGGCTACAGATGAAGGTCATTTCAGCTACTTGTTACCCAGAACTTGTTCTTTTGGTGATGAGTCCAACCTCACGACCATAGGTGAGAGTTAGTGTAGAAGGACCAGTGAATTTAGAGCTTTGCCTTTCAGCTTTACTCCTTCACCATGGCAGACCAGAGCAACATTCTCATTACTTTAGATGAAACAACAATCCATCTCCTGCTCCATCTTACCATCACTCTTGTACAAGACTCGTAGATGGTTGAATTCCTCTGCTTAAGGCATAGACTCGCACCTATTCCAGAGAGCATTTCACCTTTTTCTGGTTAAGAAGCATGTCCTCAGAGGAACTGACTCATCACAGCTTCTTCACACTCTGCTGCAAACAGCTCCAGTGCATGCTGAAGGTCATGGCCTGAAGACATCAACAGAAACACATCATCTGCAAAGATGAGGCCCTTAGGTCCCCAAACCAGACAAATTTTCCCCTCCATAGACAGATCCTGTTCATGAACACCACATACAGGATTGGAAACAAGGGGCAGCTCTGCCAGAGTCTAATCCACACGGTGAACAAGCACTTTGTGCCAAGGATATGGACACAGCTCTTGCTTTGATTATACAGTGCCTTGTGAAAGTATTCGGCCCCCTTGAACTTTTCAACCTTTTGCCACATTTCAGGCTTCAAACATAAAGATATAAAATTTTAATTTTTTGTGAAGAATCAACAACAAGTGGGACACAATCGTGAAGTGGAATGAAATTTATTGGATGTGTCAAACTTTTTTAACAAATAAAAAACTGAAAAGTGGGGCGTGCAATATTATTCGGCCGCCTTGCGTTAATACTTTGTAGCGCCGCCTTTTGCTGCAGTTCCAGCTGAAGTCTCTTGGGGTTTGTCTCCATCAGTGTTGAACATGGAGAGACTGAAATTCTTGCCCATTCTTCCTGCAAAACAGCTCGAGCTCAGTGAGGTTGGATGGAGAGCGTTTGTGAACAGCAGTCTTCAGCTCTTTCCACAGATTCTCGATTGGATTCAGGTCTGGACTTTGACTTGGCCATTCCAACACCTGGATACGTTTATTTATGAACCATTCCATTGTAGATGTGTCTTTATGTTTTGGATCATTGTCTTGTTGGAAGATAAATCTCCGTCCCAGTCTCAGGTCTCTTGCAGACTCAAAACAGGTTTTCTTCCAGAATGGTCCTGTATTTGGCCCCATCCATCTTCCCATCAATTCTGACCATCTTCCCTGTCCCTGCTGACGAAAAGCAGGCCCAAACCATGATGCTGCCACCACCATGTTTGACAGTGGGGATGGTGTGTTCAGGGTGATGAGCTGTGTTACTTTTACACCAAACATATCGTTTTGCATTGTGGCCAAACAGTTGGATTTTGGTTTCATGTGACCAGAGCACCTTCTTCCACATGTTTGGTGTCTCCCAGGTGCTTGTGACAAACTTTAAACAACACTTTTTATGGATATCTTTGAGAAATGTCTTTCTTCTTGCCACTCTTCCATAAAGGCCAGATTTGTGCAGTGTACGACTGATTGTTGTCCTATGGACAGACTCTCCCACCTCAGCTGTAGATCTCTGCAGTTCATCCAGAGTTATCATGGGCCTCTTGGCTGCATCTCTGATCAGTCTTCTCCTTGTTCCAGATGAAAGTTTAGAGGGACGGCCGGGTCTTGGTAGATTTGCAGTGGTCTCATACTCCTTCCATTTCAATATGATTGCTTGCACAGTGCTCCTTGGGACGTTTAAAGCTTGGGAAATCTTTTTGTAGCCAAATCCAGCTTTAAACTTCTCCACAACAGTATCCCGGACCTGCCTGGTGTGTTCCTTGGTCTTCATGATGCTCTCTGCGCTTTGAACAGAACCCTGAGACTATCACAGAGCAGGTGCATTTATACGGAGACTTGATTACACACAGGTGGATTCTATTCATCATCATCAGTCATTTGGGACAACATTGGATCATTCATAGATCCTCACTGAACTTCTGGAGTGAGTTTGCTGCTCTGAAAGTAAAGGGGCCCAATAATATTGCACGCTCCACCTTTCAGTTTTTTATTTGTTAAAAAAGTTTGACACATCCAATAAATTTCATTCCACTTCACGATTGTGTCCCACTTGTTGATGATTCTTCACAAAAAATTTAAATTTTAGATCTTTATGTTTGAAGCCTGAAATGTGGCAAAAGTTTGAAAAGTTCAAGGGGGCCGAATACTTTCGCAAGGCACTGTACAGGGACTGGATAGCCCTTAAAAGCAATCCTGGCACATCGTACTCCAACAGCACCTCCCACTAAAGACTGAGGAACAGGGTTGGAAGCCTTCTCCAGATTCACAAAAGACATGTAGACTGGTAACTTCCCTTGACCTTCTTAGCAACTCTTCAAGAGTCAAGACTTTGTCTGCTGTTCCACGACCAGGACAAAAACCACTGGTCCTGTATCAAAGGTTGGACAGTAGACCAGATTCTCCCTTCCAACATCTCTGTGCAAACTTTCTTTGAGAGGCTGTGATTCCTTGATAGTTGCAACTCACACTGTAATGTTTTGTTGAGATTTGACAGTTATAGTCATTTTGGCACAATCTTGTAAGAACAGTATGCAAAGTAGACAAGCATGCACTTGTGCACACACAAACAGGCAAAATCACTAACCTCCTTTTTGGTGGTGGGCAATAATCAACAAAGCACTCCTTTTATTTTCTTGTTGATTGACCTGTTGTGTGTACATTGTAGGTACAAAGTAATTAGTTGATTTCGGTTACGATGAGTTTTATCTAACGTTTGGAAAGCCTCTGTCAGCACAGTTGTAGTTTGTGATTGGATACTATCTAAACCAGAGTACTGTGTAAACAAACAAGATGTTAAATTAGTTTTTATGAACTGTAAAAAGTAACACACACAAGATTTAAAATATAAACTCATTAAATTCTTTATATCACCTATTTAAATCCTGTGTTTGCCCTGTAGGAGCTCCCAGAGGAGGGTTTTCCAGTTTTAGCTGAAGACCTGGAGGAAGAGGGCATTTCCCAGTCTGTCCCCTCAGATCAGGGCTCCCAGGTCTCTGCAATAATTCGAGATGTTATTGTGATCGACACGGACAGCGAGAGCCCAGAGGACCAGAAGCAGGAAGGAGAAGAAGAAGAAGTGCAACAGGAGGAGGAAGTAGAAGAAGAGGTCTTTTTTTTTTTTGCTCCCGAATAAGATTGCTCTTTTTTAAAATTTATATTTACTTCAGTTTTCCGCTTCAGTTCAAGGAAGGAGGTGATGAAGAAGAAGATGAGGATGATGCTGCTGACAGCGGGATAAGGGGAGCTGAGGAGAGTAATGAGGAGAGCAGAGAGGCTGAAGAAGAGCAAGATGAAGGACCTTCTGATGCCACAAACACTGAGGAGGTTGTGAGCGGAGCGTCTTCAGGCTCCCAGTGTTCCTCTGAGCCGACATTCAGTGGTGAGTCCCAGCTCAGGTCTGTGGATTCACTTCATTAACCTCCTTTATTAAATCTTACCGACTCCCTCGTGTGTTTCAGGAGAGGGCAGCAGTTCTCTCATGGAGTCAGAAGCCCCCAGGGACTCTATACACATCCCCCCCACGTGCTCCTCGGCACACTCTCTGCCCTCATCCTCCCTCACACCTCGTCTGCCGCACACACGCAGGCTGCCACATGCTGTCCCGCCTCGGCTCTACATCCAAGCTCCAGCTCCCGAACTGGGACCCCCCCACGCACAAGTAAAACAAAAATGTCCTTTGCTCACACCGTTGTATTTTCAGTGTTGGTGTCGTATGTTTTTTAAGTCTTCCAGTTGTTTTATGGCATCTAACAGCAAACTGTCTCACTGAATGTTCACTTCAACGTCTTACACCTTCCAGAGTTTATACAAAATGAAGTGTTAACAACTTTAAGAGTACATTTTTGGTTGCTGCATTATTTTAGAAAGTAACTTTACAATAAGGTACACAAAATTAGATTAACTACTAGGGAACGCCTCAGGAACGAACAGGAGCTAATGGGTAGTTAACCAGCACTTACTGGGGAACACACAGCCAAGCCTTCTTAGGGGACTACTGGTTTGTTACCATAGAAACAGAGGAAAAACTCTCCATGTGGGTTCTGAATAAACCCTGCACCAGTGAGGTCACATCTCGTAACTGTCAAAAACCAGTTTCCTAGTGATTTTATTGGATTTTCTCTTTTGTAAACCTGTTGATGAAAGACATCATCAGGTTCATGATCTTGTACTGGTGTCATCTTAACTATGTCTGACCACCACTTACTGAGTACCAAACCATTGCCTGGATATTATTTTGTTCTCTGATGTAGTGAAGCATCATACCAAGTACTTACTGAGGAACCAGTCATTACTTAATCACTACCTGACCATTACCTACTGGTTTGTTCCTGTGGTAACTAACCAGTAGTCTCCTAATAAGGCTTGGCTGTGTGTTCCCAGTTAACTACCCATTAGCTCCTAATATGTTTCAGATTCGTTCCTGAGGCGTTTCCTAGTAGTTAATCTAATTTTGTGTACGTTATTGTAAAAGTGTTACCTTTTAGAATAATAATCTCATTTTCTAATAAAAATAGTTGTCAGACTATCTGCCTCGAGTATAAATGATCAAAGCCTGTTGCCATTCCTGTTGTTGTACAGCCTCATATATAATTTGATGCTTTCCTTTGGTAAATATAATGCATACAGATCTATCTTGTCAATAAATAGGAACAATATATACAATTTTTAAGGTAATGAACAATCGTTTTGTTTATCAGAGACAGTCCTCTCAGCTGCGTAGACCATCTTCAGGACGTGGACCTCAGCTAACCCCTGGATTAGCCACAATGGTAGGAAACATCAGCATGTGTTGAATTATACTGATTTTATTTGCTGCACCTAATGATCGGACATATTTAGTTTTATTTTATTATTTGCCCCCACAAGTGGACTACACTGTTGTAAGCTGATGGGTCACAACATTTAGACCTTTCTCTTTTCGTTTTTGCTTTCAAAACTATTCTGTCCGATCAAGACAAAGAACATCTGGGAGTGTTTTGTTGTTTGGGGGCTGAGATGGTGCAGAGGCAGGGCCGCCCACCTGGGACCCAAAAGTCCCAGGTTCGATCCCACATGTTGTGGTGTCTCTGAGCAAGACACCCAATTCCTAGTTGCTTCCCGGGTGCTTACATATCTGCCCACTGCTCCACCTGGGTGTATCCCAGGTGTGATGGGTTAATTGCAGAGAATTTCACCATTGTATGGGAACACACAGTGACAACACAAAGCACTTACACTTACTAAAAATAAATCCTCAGGACCATGTGGATTATCAGATGTTGTCTCTTCTAGATTGATATAGATTCAGACCCCATCTTGTATCTCAGAGGTTTGAAACACCAACAACTCAGGATCTTTCTTGTGCTTTGTGATTCATTCTAGGGGTGCACCCCATTTTCCTTAATTTTGAGAAATCGGTCGATACTTGCATGAGAAACCGATTTTATCAATTTTTTTGTTTTTGTTTTAACAACAGTTGTCTGAACTTCATTTATATTTCAGAGCACTACCTCATGGCCAGTTAACACAAGTTTGTATTGTTTCTAGGATGTTGTTCAGCAGTATGATTTTTAATAAAATAAGATTGGACAGTTCAAGGTACATTATGACCTTATAACACCTGACAGTGTCGCTTATAAAACAAAATCGGTATCAGCAGCTCAGACTTTTTAGAAATCGTGATCGACCAGAAAACTGCAATCGGTGCACAACTAATTCATTCCTAAGTAGTTTTTGTTGAGGCTAAAAACTGTTCATCTGAGTAGAGGCCTGCTAGTATAAGGGAATGCTGTTATGTGGTGTTTGGTCTGACAACATGTTTACGTAGATGGAACATGTCAAACATCCATGTTAACACCATGTGTGTGTGTGCGTGCGTTTGCGTGTGTGTGTGTGTTGGCAGCCTTTTTTTGACGACGATGACAGAATGGTTCCCAGTACTCCCACTCTGGTGGTCCCACATCGCACTGATGGCTTCGCTGAGGCGATACAGTAAGTTGCACACATACAGATGTCTTTTTAATGAAGCAGTCACAGGTTTTAGCCATTTAAAGAAGGGGCCATTTTTGTTAACAGATGTGTTTTGTTAATATTGTGGAATGGATTTTCAAGTAGAATTCATACACAGGATGGTATTTTGAATATAAACATGTTTTAGAGGAATCTTAGCCACATCTTTTAATGTCGACACAAAGAGGTTTATTATTATTATTATTATTAATTATTATTATTATTATTGTTGTTGTTGTTGTTGTTGTTGTTGTTGTTGTTGTTGTTGTTGTTGGTGTTGTTGTTGTTGTTGTTGTTAGTAGTAGTAGTTGTAGTTGTTAGGGGAGTGGTGGCAAGATGGGCCTGTGATCGGAAGATCGCTGGTTCAAGCCCCGATACAAACTTCAAAAATGTGGGTGGGGTAGGTGAAGCACCCACACCTGCCCCCACCCTCATTTGTCCCACTCTGGGACCTTGAGCAAGGCCCTTAACCCCACCATCTGCTCCTCCGGGTGTCCTAGACAGCAGCTCTTTGCTCCACACAGAGGGCTGTGGTAGCTCGGTGTCTGTGGTTGCGTCAGGAAGAACATCCGGCATAAAAAAATAATAAATAACTGCCAAGTCTTCGTGTGACTTAGTTCGCTGTGGCGACCCCTAAAATAGGGAGCAGCCGAAAGAAAAAAAAATATAGTAGTATTTACTGTTGCTGCAAGACAAAGTCCCAAATAAGTAATTATGGACTCTGAGTAGACTACTACTAGACTAGTAGACTCTGAGTAGTGCACTAGACTGAGGAACAGTTTTTACCCTGAGGCTGTTAGACTCATGAATATCAAACTATAATAATCACTGTGAAAAATCACATCATGCTGCTGCTGATCTGTTTCATGTTGCTGCTGATCTGTTGCATGTTGCTGCTGATCTGTTTCATGTTGATGTGTTCATGCATGCTCATTTGCTCACACAGACTCGTGCTCATGTTTGGGCTGCTGTTAGACGTAATCTAAAAAGGTTAAATCTGGTCCTCTGGACATTCAAAAAAAACCAAAACAAAACAACAAAAAAATGTAGAAACGTTTTGTCTCTCGTCCGAGAGACTTCTTCAGTCTGAGGTGCTGTATTCAGCTCAGTCTCTTAAATAGCACCTTCTCAGAGTGGATCAACCAGTTTTGCTGCTGACAACCAAAACCAGCTGATCACATGCTCAAGAAGGACCATCAGCCTAACAATGGATCATTAGCACACTGATGGCTGTTTACTATTCACAGAGGCTGAGTGATACTAGCAATCACAGCATTGTAAGAGGGGGACAGTTGAACCCGGAGGCCTCCACCCCTGTTTGATGATGGACGATTTCTTTTCACAAAGATGGCCTCCTTTACTCCTCTCTCAAACCATCGTTCCTCTCCATCCAGGATGTGAACATCTTCATCCCTGAAAGAGTGACCGCTGGCCTGGAGATGAGTGTAGACCGCAGAGTCCTGGCCTGATGATGTTGATCTTCTGTGCTGGGCCATCCTTTTGGCCAGTGGCTGTTT